TCACTCGATATAAACTCGCATAAATGCAGCATTTCAAATTTTGCCATAAACTGAATGGAAATAAAATGAATTGGAATCGTCAGCAGTCATTTTCGTACGTCAGCACGCCAATCGGACTATACATTATATAATGGAGTACTGCCGAAATATCGGTTTCAAACCGCCGAATGTATAGAAAAAAAAGTAAACATTAGGTGATTAGCGGTATCACTTTTCTAAAGGCGGGATTGGATCATGTTTCACGTGAGGAACAGCAGCCATTTCACGTTTCACAAGTGAAAATTATCCATTTCAAGCGAATTAAAAAATACGTTTTTAACCGTTTAAATGTTGAGTATTTAGTCTTTCAAATCCGTTTTCACCCTTTACTTTAGCTTTAGCCTGTTTTATTTCTTCGAAACTAATTTTGTGATTGATTCCCGAGATGACAGGAAACAGTTAAACGGTTATTAAAATATTTTGTATATAGCCACGATCCTATAGGTATATAGCCATGGTACTAGGTTTAGCAAAACCAGTCATGACAGTTACGACTTCGTTGGGTACAAAACATAAAATAGCAATTTCTTTTGGAAAATGGATACAGTTCGCATCATGTATTGCCGTATTGAATCAGAATGAATATATCATGGATCAAGCGATCCGAAAACGTTTGTATATTCATATTCGTTCTGTAAGTATTACAAAAAGAGACTATACGGTTAATTTTTTAAATTAATACTCTTGTTGATCGACAACTTTATGTGTTTACCCATAGGTTGTAGTACAGAATAGTAAATGATTGGGGAAGAAATTTTACATGAAATGTTGCTGTTGACTGCATGCATGCCAACGCAGTCGGTAATTATGCAGATATTTATACAATCTCCATGTAGACAAAGTTAAGCTTATATAATAAGAACGATTATTATCTATATAAGTAGATTCTAAACACTCGCCAGTAAAAACATAAAGGTCAAAAACTATGGCACGGAAGATTTAGTTTCTGAGTCACTATAAATATAAAGCGGTAACAATTCGTTCAAGGCAATATTTAACAACACATAAAAACTATGTACACATTTGCCTTTACAGTGTATACATTTCAAACTATCCCACTCACTTTCAAAGCCTTCCATAGAGACAGAGTTGACAATAAATTTTATATACGACTATATGATATCGTAATCAAATTATATATAGTCTATACCCAAATTTGTTTAACTGTTCAAAAGACCCTTCAAATAGAGTTATTGATGTCTCCAAAGGCAAAGTAAAAAGATCCACCATGCACGCAACTTTAGCCGACATAAAGCCTTCGAATGCGCAGTACAAGAGTTCTGGAACTCGATTATACCAGTTCCATCCACGTCTGAGAAAGAACTTAAGCATTTGAGGCATATATTTAATAAGTAGCTTGTAGTTGTTAAATTGCTTTTACGATTATAGGTTTACAGAACTACTTTCTTATTTCAACAAACGTGAATGATAATTGTTACAGGGGACATTTCAAGCACTAGATTAACAAAATAAAGGTTTGATAAGAGTTCCAACTATACGTTTCACCTTAAATAGAATACGTGATAATGTTGGGAAATCATTAGGAACAGCTAACTATTGGGTCGCGTGACTGTCAACTCTCATACTCTCTCATCCTCGATTGATCCAGGCTTTATAGTATTTTAAAATTGTATATTTTTCTTACATTTGTACAGTGTAGTATGGTATAAATTTGAAAAATTAATAATTTTAATCAGCGTGGTAGGAATAAAATTTACTAATGTTATAATTACTTAAGATATGAACTGCTTTGCATGTCTAATATATTTTATCGACGGCCACTCGAGCTGCCACTGACTGAGAACATAATAATTAACATGCCTCACTAATAACCACACTCAATTATATATAAAGGCCTAGTCGTAAAAATATGCACGGAAAAGTCACACTTTCTATTTTTTCCTTCAATTCTATATTCACGTTCATATAAAACAGGAAACACGAAATCGATAAAATTTAAAGAGCATGGTTAAGTACCCTGCGGCTGTATGGCAATGGTCTAAGGAGTAGAGACAATATATTTAAGCATCGCAAGTGATATAATTTATGAATGTCACTGGACGAGAAAGGCATAGCGTGATGCCCAATGTGCATGTATTTATACAGGCTGGCGTCAAAACACGTAACATAGTGAAATTCTATAGCCGATCACACGATAATTGAGGTATTAGCTAAACGCCTAGAAACCGCGGTTCAAGTGTATGGGAAAACAATGTAAGGTATGCGAAGCATGCTTCTTCAATGTACAACAAGATAAGTGTATGAATCTCATGCAGTCCGTGTGATTATACAAGCAATAATGTGAGATTCGCATTTTTTCTCGTGATATAGTAAAAAGCCCTCTGGAAAACTATATATATAGATCCATTTTCACGCCTATATACCCTGAAAGGTATTAATACTACACCACCGCGGAGTTAAAGTTATGTTACAAATTTCGCCTGAGGTTGCGGCTCCGCGATATTAATCTCTCGAATATTCTCACCATAACACATAAAACATAACTTGCGAAGGGTCTTTAGTCGTCTAGGATTGGTGTGTACACCATACAATTAATCCCTCTCCACGAACAGCGAGAGCAGAACTTGAATCAGTCACAGACTCACAGAGTCCACGATCCACATAGTCACGACAACAAATGCACTTCATAGTGTCGATCAAATGTAAACAAATGTGCTCACACATTCGAAATGCGTAATTTTTCGCTCACGAAATTGCAACTGCTGCGGCATAGAAACGAATTCCCTAATCAAAGCAAGGCCAAATGAATGTACTTAAAATTCCATCGTAGTATGCTTTGTAGCGGTACAATGCGAAGCCAACGCATACATAAATCAGATCACATCAAATTGCTCGCTAGAAATTCTTGCGTGCAGCTTTGAGCATGTGCTAGAATGAAGAAAACGCTTACCTCTCAATGATCTCAACTTGTGTGTTAAATCACCAAATCCCATTCACGTCCGTCTATATGCTACGGTGTCAACATCTGTAGGTATTAAATAGATGTAAGCCGCCGGCTTGTTGTGCTATGGACGAGGCATGCGCAGTGAGGGTCTGAGGGAAATGAGAGAAGGCTTCGCATGTTTGGGATATCGCATCTCCAACCATGAAAGACTTTTTTTAAATAAGCCATCCATTTTACATGTCGTGACATCGAAGGCCTAAAACACAAAAAATACAACATTTATAATGTCATCCGGTTATTTTAACAAAACCCAGAGGAAAGATTTAGAAAAAATATTGCGCAAATTAAAGAAGCAAAAATGAATATTGATTTCTTTTCCTTTAAAGTCTTTGCGAACCAATATACAAAGTTGAAGTCAAAGAATCAAAGAACAATTTTGCAGGGCAACATGCCTTCCTGTTTTTTTTTCAGAAACAATACTGCACAGCCCAACTTAATTAGTACGTTGACATAATATGATGAAACGGATTCTTTCACAGTGAAAACCTTCTCAGAATCGGCTTCTGAAGAGTTTTTTTACGCAGATGACAATCCATAACTCAACTAAGACAAAACGGTTCAAGCTGCAAGACAACCCACAGTTCATAAAGATAACATATTATTTAATTTAGGTTTTATTTGTAGACCCAGGCCTTTTCTCATCAAGATATAAAACTCCACTGATCCCAAAACTATATGAAACTAACTGGATAATGTATCTGTCCATCCGGTGTTTTCAGCATGTTATAAGAAGAGGTTCTTACACAGTTTCTGGTTCTTACAGTTTCTTGGTTGATATATTCTTGGACTGATCAATATTCTACTAATGACTGCCTGGAGTACTCATTTTTATACACTATAATGGTATACACTTCATTATGCACTCCTTTAAATGTTCTATTAGAACATAAACACTCGTAAAAAAACTTTGCCAAGCTATATATTTTCTAGTTATATAATACAAAAGCTTGCAAACCATTTATTTGACAGCTTTTTACTAATCTCTTCTCATTATAAACATTTTGGTTTCAAAAATGGCTCATTCAATTCAAAAGCATGCTCTATAGCCAGTCCTATTTTGAGAAGCCATTCTGGCTCCACCTTATCTGAAAAACTTCCACCATGTCAAAGTTCGTTGTACTAAAGTGATCCTCATCACTATGAAGTAATTCATTACAAGTCAAATCAAAGCCAAATCGAAAGAGTATATAAACTATATATGCGGTTGTTTGTTAGTGTAGAACATTCGGCAAGGCTGCATGGATAGCATTAATATAGTTTCGACTCAATGATCGGAATGTTCCACTGTGTTTTCATTGTTTCAAAACTTTACTGTTCTCCAGTCACTTATTCTAACATGGATGATTACTAGTTAACCTACTTTTAATATTATCGGTCGGATCAGACATTACTGTTGAGTGTTGAGTGATGAGGACTTTAGTATATTAGTCTGGCTTTACATATTTTTTAACTGATCACGCTCATTGATTTTGTATCTGATCAAGTTGTTTTTACTCTTTACGAATGTTAAAATAATTACTGTACAAAACTGGAATTATATTGCAACCGCGCGAACAAGTGCTGTGAGAGGACTGAAACTGTCTGCCAACAACTCCTTTGATTCAATTTCAGCCATCTTTAGCTTCACTTATCTATTGGCCAAATAACTAAAGTTCTTACTCCAGACATAAATAGAGCTCGTTTGAAAACGTCGGATCCCACTGATCTTAATTAAAGTACACTGGATAGCGTAACTGACAAATTCTAAAATCTAAACTACTAAAGCTATAACGTTGGCTGTCTTGAATGCTTTCTAGATCGCTACTACGAAGTGCTGACAATAAAATTTGAGTCGATACAAGTATTTCACCTAGCATGAGTTACGGAGCTTTGTAAAATATTATTGCTGACGTCAGCACTAAGAAATGACGTATAATCCAACCTTGGTACACGAATATGGCGGCCAGAAGTCAAATGCTGATATAGGGACAGTTTTAGCCAAAATGCTTGGAATCTTCTAAAAGTTGAATCAGGCGTCACCTCTTAATCAAGCATTTATAGTTCTAAACGTCAGCATTAATATTTTGCAAAACTCCATAACTCAAGAGGAAATAATGAATCAATTGTATTGACTAAAGGTTTTGGTGAACACTCGTAGGTGAGTGACAATATATGGAACATATAAAACAGCCAGCTTTGTAGCTTTAATTTTAGAATTTGTGACGTCACGCGTGCTTGACCTCTCTATTGCATCAGGATTGCATGATAAACCTTGCACGTCACGCAAAGGCATAGCTAGGAATTTTTCCGCTAACCAATCACGTTACCGAAATTGATTTTTCACTTCGTCCGAACAAATTCGCCTAGTGGAAAACCGGTTTAAGTGAGAGCATAGGAGTAGGATGGGATAGTGTAGTCACAGAAATATTGTCCAGGATTTAGTTGTATTACAGTTCTTCTCACGACTCTTAACTAAATATAAGTGCAGTATATGTTTGTAGCCTTCAAACCGCAGGAATGTACGTGGTATTGAGCCATGCTATTTTTCCATTCGCTTGTATTGATACAAGATTTATATAACAAACCATATATGGAAGTTGATTTTCGTCGAGGAAATCGGGTGTAATCAATGCAAGTAACAAATAAAAAGATAAATAAAATAAAACAAAATTTATCACAACAAAGGGTGATATTTAGGTTATTACATTGCTTATCACCCATGGTTTCCGAAAGAATCCATTCTCAGGTGAATAGAATAATAAAATATTTCTTAACGTCAATGACGAATTCCTTCGGGGGGTGAGGCGGGACTTTGGAGCTTAAACAATCCACATTCCCTGAGCCAAATTCTAACAAAATCCGCATCCTCACGCAAAAATTGCCAATGGCAATGAAATTCCACAGTAAAGTGTTTCCTCATTCCGTTGAGCAGAAAACAAAACTTCAAAGAATTTCCCATTCCAAAATTCATCCTCATTCCCCGAAACTTTTAGTGTAGCGCCATCCCCCCCCCCCCCCCGGTCCCCCAGAGCCGCTACGCAGGCTACGATGGTTTTTTAACTTCAGTATGTTCATGACAAGAAATCGCCCAATTTCATGAGAAATCGCCCAATCTACCACATATATTTTAACATTAGTTAATAAATATATTTTAACATTAGTTAATAAATATATTTTAACATTAGGTAAATATATTTTAGTCAATGCTCAAAATAATCCATGGTGGGTGATGGCCATTTCCTCGTTCTAGTCCGTCTTTCAAAACTAATCGAAACACGGATTAAGCACATTGATATTATACATACCAATGATTAAACACCACACGTTTAGGAATAATTGATAAGTTTGGGTTAACTGTCATATTTTAATTTCCTTCAACTCCCCAACCGTATCATTGCGGCTTTTGTCTCCTTTCAAAAACTCTACAGGATATAAATTTTACTGACAAGAATTGAAACATTGCCAAATTCTTTAAATGAGCCCATTTTTACTCTGGAATATCTAACTCAATACCTAACACAATTTGACCACAACTATTAATATAATGCAATTACTACGTGGACAGATATCTTTATGGGTTCATTCCGTTCCATTGAAAGCTCGAATGAACTGGGCTCGATTCCAGCAAACATTGGGCTAAACCTTGCCCGCGTGCAGGGCCACCGAGGGAAGAATAGTGGCCTGCACGCGGGCTAGACTAAATCTTGCTTGCATACCATGGCACAAGCTCACTGAAAAGTTCTAAATGATGATGGTGACAATGTTCATCAGATTGTCCGACTTGTAAACCATTTTGAATGAAGACAATGGATTTTACCCTTGCAGACGTTCCAAAAACAGTGCCTTCATGTATTTATATTCAACATTGCGCATGCCTACACTGGAACTCCAAATTCAAGATATTATCCCAGAGTCATATAAAATACCCACAGATGAACTTGCAGACAACAAATACAATGCTCCTAGGTATTTTCACTCTACACAATTAAAGGGACGTTTCCCGAGATAAATCTTAGTTTTGAAGAGCTCTACGAGATGGACCAAGAATACTATAAATATCGCACTTCCCGGGAAGCATGCATTTATAAGCAACCTTGGCTTTAGACCCTCGTTTTCGTGACTGAGAGACACGTCAAGGAATGCAAGTTTCCACAAGTCGATAATTCTTCTTATAACAATGACTACTAATTTTTCTTTTACTATTGTAGAATAATTTTATAGTGTTCACTACGAAACTGAAGACCAAACTTCTATTTACCCGTAAAGTGAAGAAAAAAACGCTACTTTTTGTAGTTTATAAAAAGTGGTTAACTCTTAAAAAGTGGTTAACTCTCAAATGCACAACTCTGATTGTCTAATTTCTGCACTAACTGTAGTCAACTTCAATTACTCTTTCACAGTATACAACCAGCTCTAGGAGAACAACAAAAGTCATGCTATGGGTCAATAAGTGCAAGCTAATATATATTGTATTTAACTTGTTCAGGTTTATACAATGTTGTGCATTACAAATTACATTGAAGCAATCACCCAATGACATTATTTGCTCAGATCACTCAAACAATGCTGTAAGTTGAAATGTTAATCACAAAAATTCATGCAATATAAAAGGCTTGCTTTATTTTTGGGATCCTCTAAAATTGGGGGCCCTTGATAGGTTGGGGGCACAGGGCAAGTTGCCCCCCCCCCCCTCTCAGCAGCATGCCATGGTTTTCAGATCATACCTGTATATAGATTGACTATGTTGCCAATGATATTGACATCATACAGGGGAGTTTCATTTACCATCATGTAGCAGGGGAAATGTAAACATAAATATGTAATACTCAACCCAGACAACAAAGATGTAAGTTAGGGTGCACTGGAACTTGGTTTGGGCTGGTTAGTTCCAGCCGGAACCCCGATTTTTGAGAGTTCTGGTTCTGGCGAGAACTAATAAAAAAAGCTTGGCCAGAACTAGAACTCTTTCGTTTTCAGAGAGATAGAATATCAAACGTTTTGTGTCTAACAAAAGTTCACAGTAGGAAGAAATTTGGACTACACAAGGAAAATGACACTATTAAGTAAACACTTTATTATGACGTTTAACGTTTGTCAATCTTTTTATGCTAACATGTGAGAGCTCTTTTCTTGATGACTTGAAGTGTCTGCCTGTCTGGCAGCAGACAAAGTAACATATGACTCTATATGGCTCAAGTCAGTTCCGGTTCTGGCTGGAACTTTTTTCCAGTTCCAGTCAGAACTTTAAAAATTGGTTCTGGTGCACCCCTAATGTATAAGTACATGTTCATATGTAACATGAGTATCATGATGCTCTATTTTACAAATAATAGCCTGACACAAACCTTAATCCGATCGCTTTCCACCCACAGCAAAGTTTATATTTAGTATCCAATCAAAATGTTGCAGGAGAAATTTAAATTTCACACAACGACAACAACAATCTAATTATAGTTGTGATCATTATAAAATACGGCAACAACAATAGTATAATCTAATTAGCAGTCCAACCAATCAAATGACAGATTAAAACTCTTTTGTCTCATAGACCAATCAGATTTACAACCGAAATACGGTTGTATGGCATGGACTTTTGTTAAAGTTTGTATCAGGCCTATTTATTTATATATAGGCCTGATCGCAGGTTAGTTCATATGGTGTATACCCAGCACGACTGAGGTTCTTGGTTATCTCGCTTATAGGTAGGGCAATGCAGTTCCCATAAAAATGCATGATCAATATTAACCCTTAAGTGGCATTGCACCTTGGTGCATGCATCCTACTTTATTATTTTACTCTAATGCCAGACAATTTTTCTTGTCAAAGGGATATAGTGCTGCCCAGGGCTCGAATTTTATCGCGGCAATCGCGGCAATTGCTGTAGAGGGAGAACAAAATGCCGTGGATCATTGCGGCAACGACGGCAATTTTTTGCCGTATAGTGCAATTTTTATACTGTTCATTGTGCATTACTATTTTGATACTTGAATTCAGATGTTGATCAATCTCAGTTTTCTTCGAAAAAAAAACCCCACTAAAGAAATACATAGACATGTTTCTAGCTTGTCAAAAATCCAAAGTAACAATAAAATTAAAGTTTTATTACAGTAATTTGAAAAATGCCATGGAAGCTGTCAAAATTGCCGTAGGCAGCTGTTACGTTCTACGGCAATTTTTAACGCCATTGGCGTCGATTGATTTCAGGGAAATTCGAGGCCTGGTGCTGCCAATCAATGGGTCAAAAAGGGAAATATAACAGACCCCAAACACCAGCCCCCTAAAACATACATATAACATCAAGGACGTACAAACAACAACTATATGCAGTGTAGAGGCAACATTGACATTGTGTCAGTCAGTTAGAGAATAAAAACCTGAACCTTGCCTGAATCCAACCTCCATCTTAACCCTGACAGACCTTAATCCAAACCTCCAAGCTGGAGGTCAACAGATGGTCTAAATTGCAGGTTACATATCTTGGTGGTTGAATTTTGGACAAAAAAGACCCCAGGTCAGGGTTGGGGGTTGGATGTGGGCTAGAACAACATGAAAATACCTAAGTCAATCTGAAGTCATGTCATCAACCTGCACCAATGTGCAACCTGTAAGGACCCTAGTGCGGAAAGTTTGTATCACAGTCAGACTGGAAACTTTGCAGTGTGCACAGAAGATCTTCCGTGCGCACACAGAAATTCATGTGCGCAAAATTCTATTTTCACAAGTGTCAAGTGCGCACTTGGCCTGTAAAAGATAAAGGTATTAAGCTTTTACATGCACAAAAACAAGTGTTGGGTGCGCATAATTTTACAAAATAAAATTCTTCTGTGTGCATGCACATAACAAAGTTTCCAGTCTGGTTAATCACAGCTATTAGATTTTTGGGCGTGCAATTTCCAAACTGTTAAGTCAGCACGGGAACTGTGACTGACCATCAGTCAACCTCATTAATAGCACACGGTAGGCCAGATTTGGAAAGTTTGTAAGATGCAGGTGATATCAAATTCTGGATACCATGTTGCATGGGCAACCTCAAAATATTAGGTAAGTGAACCTAATTGTCTTGAAGGTCTGAAAACTGTGGAGGAAACTTTCCAATCTGGGCGTTGACAATAAACAGCAGCATTATGCAGGACAGCAGGAGACATAAGTACCTGAACAAAATACAAACAGAACGTGATGAGGCCCCAAGAACATTGAAGAGACCTACGAACGAAGGTCTAAGAACTTTGAAGTTCTGTTTGTATTATTCAGGTAGTCGTATCTTCTATCGTATAACACTGTTGTTTTTCTCAATGCTTGAAACCATGTGGTATCATTTTAATATATCGAAATCATAAAGGGAAATTATTGTGTCAGAACAATAGTGGGCACTTGAACACTTCCTTTCGATATCTACTGTACCTTGTTCAGTCTGTTCATTCTCAGTGGTTCATTGGCAGTTGTAGTCAGACAGTGCACTGAACATGATGATGCTTGACGAGATAATACGGTTCCACTTTCAAGATAATACAATTCCACTTGTGCAAAATTTGCAAGATATAACAAACTCATCCTTTATAAATTATAATATTAAACGAATAAAATAGTGTGTATATATGATGTTAGAAATTTATTTCCACGTGCATTCAAATTTTTTCGGCTAATTCTCGTAGCGACGTGTAGACCCGAATGCAGTCCGATTTATTCCGACGGGATTGTTTATAAATGAAACTTCTGTTGCTTGGTGGCGATTTGACATTTTTATTTTGTTTTTATGTTCTTGTAGCGTACAGTGTATATATTCTATTATTTATATTTCAACTTTTGCCATGAACATTGATAGTAATGGATCGGATTCGCTTCGACAACAGTTCCAACTACTTCAAGAGCAACATAAAAAGAAGCTATTGTTACGTAAACAAAAATTATCTACTCGGACTGAAGTGACAGAAGAACAGAAACCTGAATATTTGAATGGGGGGAATAGTCATGGTTCGATTGAAGATCTAGATAATCTTGAACTTCAGGTTAGGTTACAACCAGCTTGTGGTGATTTATTATTCTCACTGATATCGGAAGTATTGGAACCATCAATCCATCATTTTATAGTGATCATTCAAATGATTCAATCCAGTGAGAATATAAATATATACCAAATTCAATGAAAGATAATGAGATTTACAATGAGAAATACCACCAACATGGCTGCAATCGACCTACAGTATATACATATTGTTCAATCAAAGGACCTGATCATGCGAGTGTGGTTACCAACAGGGATGGATCCAGCATGATCTGGTAGGGGGGTGCTCTGCCAGCTCTGGTGCCGAGTTGTGTCGGTCATGTGTGCCGCCTGGTCATCAACTTGCTTCACTACTGCAGAGTCTTGCTTGACTACTGTATTTGAATTGTAATTGTTGTTCACAGTTCGCTTATCATCATGTTATCGCTCAAATTACTGTATCTCATTTTGTCTCTAATAATTTTTTGCTTTATCATGAAAAATAGCACCCCCCTCCCCAATAAATCCATCCCTGGTTAACAATACCATAATATCCCACTTACCTATATGATCTCAACAAAATTACCGATACTGATATTTACTAAAACATTTTGTCAATTTCCCCAATATGGAGCGACCTGACGAAGTCAAACTCCCGTCCCTGGGTAAATAATTTATAGAAAGTGAAAGAAATTTTCTGATAATAGTCATATACACAAAAAAATTATATTAATAATTAAATGAACAACAGTATAAAATTAGTCATATGTTTATATTTAAACTGTTTTAAAGATGCGGGTACAGTCCGTATGTAAACGAAGGCTTTGTTTACATTTCGGTATCCAAAATATTGAATTTTATTCGACAACTATTTATATTTTCATGATTCTAGAGTATAATAAATTATCAAGAGACAACAATCAAGCTTTGCAAGAACATAAAATGAATTAAAAACCTAAATGAACTGTTTGTAAATAAAAAGAGGGCTCCTTTGTGCACATGCGCAGATCGGACTGTACCGCATCTTTAACCCTGGTTTTATATCATAGAAGAAAATGCTCTTTATTCTTCTTCTTGTTCTTTATTATAAAAACAAACTAATATATTTAACTCACCTTTTTAAAACATATTTCTATTGCCAAAAAGTGAAAAAGTATGTAGAGAAAATCTCCAGAAAAATCATGAACAAAAGAAAAATATGGTGCTGTTTTCCACCAACACTGCCACTGATCACACATTTTTTAAACTTGTTCCCAGGCCTCATAATGAAAAATGTGAGATCAAACTTCTCAAATTCCCGACCCTCGGGACGCATGTTATTGTCAAATTCCTGACCCAGGGGAAGCAGGTACAGTAGCTGTCAAATCCTGTGGGTACACCCGATAACCCCCCCTGGGGCAAACCACTGATCGACTGGTGCATAAAAGTGAAGCAGGTTTGGCAGATGAAGTTAGTCTGCTTTCCCTTACAAATAATTATTAAGTTAAGTTAGTGGCAAACATTTTTGGGTAAATAATCTACAATCAGGTGTATCAATACCTGACCAATAACAAATTGTTTTCAAATCATCAGTTTTGTTTTCGTGCTATTCACTCTGTTACCTGCACTACTGGAAGCGACTGATAGTTAGTCATTAAACATCGACCGTGATAATATTAATGCTGTTGTATTCCTTGACGTGAGAAAGGCTTTGGATACAGTGGACCATTCCATCCTATTATCTATTTAGTAAGCTAAATTATTATGGACTAGGCAATCACTCCTTACATTGGTTTAACTCATATCTAAAAGACCACACACAAACATGTATAGTAAATAGCTGTAGGTCATCAAACACAGTACTTAGGAGTGGTGTACTTCAAGGGACTATCTTAGCCCAGTCTCTTATTTCTGATTTATATCAATGACTTACCCAATTGTTTGACCTTTTTGCAACCAAGAATGTATGCTGTTGATACCAGCATTACAATTATATGCTAGTGATGATCGATATAACTGAGATAAGTGAACCTGTTAATTTCGACTTGAGCAAAATACATGTTTGGCTTGCAGCCAATGCTCGAACGTTTACTCAAAGGATATTCTCAACCTCGCACAATATATGACGTGTTTTTCAATGTATTTTGCAGTTAAACAGTGATTCGAATGATGGTTTTTCAATTCAGCAGACGTTTGAATATGACAATAAAATAAGAGTAAGTAAAATTCTGCGGTCTTTTTAAGTAGTTCAGTGATTACAAGACTTAGACCGTTAGGCTGACTTCGTTGTTCATGAAGCAATGCATCCAACACTGGTACTGTATTTATACTTTGTTTGCTACATATATACGTTGATGTAGTGTGATGATAATCCTCTTGCCTTAGGAATTAAAAGACGAAAATGGAAGGCTGTATAAGTTGTTAGCTGAGCGTGATGAAGAAATGAGAATACTGCGCAAACAAGTCAATCAAGAACGGCAAGCAATCGCTGGTGAGAGATTACAGTCCTAAGACTAATTTCCTCACCCTTCTCTCAAAGATAAATGAAATCTTTATAAAAATGTGAATAATTACTTAACAGTTACAATTTTGTGCACTCAGTTAACTTACTTTAATTACGTCTTGCCTCTATTAGACAGATTTAGCCGAGGACGCGGACGTCAAAGACGACGTGAAAATGGCGTGGCATATCCATACATGGGCACAACACGCCATTTTCACGTCGTCTTTGACGTCCGCGTCCTTGATCTAAATCTGTCTAATATTATCCTCTATTGTCTTCCTTCATCAGTGATTTCACTGTTTCTAGCAGAGAACAATCACGATGTCAATGAACGGGGCTCTCAGGGGTGTCGGAGCCACGAGAGCAGCGGGTTTAGATGCCCCCGTTGCCCAAACAGTGCGGGGATAGCAGGTTGCCTTTTTTACAAGAACTACATGAACACTTCGAACGTCGTGCGTTATCAACTGTTTTCAAGCAATTTAGCTCAAATTTAAATCTGGAATTCATGCAACGAATAAAAATGTTCCAATTAATGCCGAAATTTGTCTAACGATATTGGCTACAAGTAATCAAGTATCTGTATAGCAACGAACATTGCCGCCCACAAACATTAAGACTCAGAAGTAAGTGCCCTTTTTAAATGGCTGCTCACGTCGCCATCTGCGAGGCTCGACCCAAAACACGAACATTTTTCTGCAGGGTGATGACCAGCTGCGATGTTAAGGATATACATGTACAACTACTTGAAAGGCCCTTCTTGGGTAGTCACTACTAACTTCCCAAAGAAGGGCCTTCGCTCGAAACGTCGAAGGTTTGTTTTTCAGGTAGTTGTATATCCTTCACGCTATAGCTGTCTGTTATCGTCTCTACTTACACTGGCACCGACAGTTTGAGATTTTATTCAATACTTGGGTATCGTGCTGTGTGCACAGCTCACTAACCAACTAAGGGTGCAACTCGCACTATGAATTGGTTTTAATGTATCAGCAAAACCTTTGTGCATTCACTCTTCTGCTATTAATAATAACGGACGAGTCTCATGCTCACATTATTGTATTTCTCATTGCTGTCGGAAGCAAATTGGGGAGGGGAGGGGGCTTAGCGTTTCGGAAGCCCCAGAAGAGTGTTTTCCGTGTTTCCTGCATGAGAGGAATTTTGATCAAAGTTGACAATGTGACGTTTTTTCATTTATTGTAAATGTTCAAGACTTTGCTTGCAACGTTTGCTCTGTGGAAATTTATAGAGTTAATTGTGGAGTGTATTTTCAGGTATTGGACCTGCCTCGGACACCGCTGCCAACCGTATCATGGAATTGTCGAAAAAGAACAGAGAGTTGGCGTCAGAAATTGAAAAGGAGAGAAGAAAAGCAAAACAACTATCCAGAAAACTTACTGAAATGGAAAATCAAGTACGTGTGCCAAATATTTGATGCAAGACGAAAAATGTTCTCGATAAAATGCTCTTCTTTAATTTCTACTCTTTTTACGTAGAATTCCTCTATGGCAGCACAGGTAACCAAGCAATCACAGGGTAGCAAGGATGCAACTGATCAGGTCAGAACTGTTTGATAATGTATGTCGTGTGCTATTTTGAAGACCACAGGCCAAGGCTTATGTTTTTTGTATTTCTATGTATGCAGGAGAAAGGCAACTCCCAAGTGCTCGAAGAAAAATTAAAACAAGCGATCGCAAAGATGGCTGAATATCGTAACCAGTGTGAGATACTGAAGAAAGAAGCAAAAATAGCGCAAAAGGTGATAAAACGTAAATTGTGATATTTCAAGGAAATAGATTGAAATCTATACTATACAGTGATTATTTTCATGCGGGTACATTTTTTCACCTGTGCGCAATCAGGGATCGATTCCTTTGCCTCAGTCGTGTGTGAGAAGGGAGGTGCCAGATTGACTCTACCATACACTGGATGCATGTTCTCTTCAGTTATATTATTTGGTTTCTACCAGCAGTAATTCTGAGCGAATTCAGGTCAGTGTTGGCTCATATACTGCACCTCCAGGGCGGAGAGCAGTTTAGTATCGGTAGAGTCATCCAGTGTAAAAGGGCTAGTTTATATGATTGGACATACTCATTAGTTATTTTATAATGTCTATGTCCTATTAAGGTTATTGCAAAAGAGTGTGGCGAAGGAGTCAATGTGGCGGCAGTGCTAAATGATCCAAGTGGTTGGCGTGGTAGACAACAACAAATAACAACTTTACAAAACAAGGTGACTGCCATTGCATGTATGTTAACAGAATTCTTTACTCTATCTCATCGTAGACCATGGTCACTGTGGATAGCTTACACGTATATATCTGGTTCACCAAGTCAGGAACAAAATCTTGTATAAATAATAAACGATAAACTAGGGCCGATCGCCCGCCTGGCCCCACCCAATATTTCTTAAGGTCTCTGAAAGATTCCTGGTAAGCTGAGTTGTAACAATGTTTTTCAACGATAAAATTCTAATATCCAAATAACATATCCATTTTAGTTAGCAAACAAATTTGCATTAACCCATTCAGCGCCAGCGCTCTCCCCTTGACGAGTAAAATCGTCTGGCGTTAGACAGTAAAATAGTCTAACGTTAGACAGTAAAATAGTCTGGCGTTAGACAGTAAAATAATAAAGTAGGACGCATTGGGGCGCGATGCAACTCAATGGGTTAAATATTGGCCAAGAGGACTAAAATTTGCAACAACGAAACGTCGGAGTATGTCAGTCAGCTAATTTCTCACCTACAAAGATGAGAGATTGTAATCGTGCGTGCCCAAAGGACATGGAAAATTACGTGCAGGTCGCGTAGTATGAAAGTGAAATGTACCAAATACTGACACTTTCACGATATAATTTGCAGCAACAAAAGTGTCAGAATATGGTGGAATATAAATTCTTACCCCGAATATTTTGTGAAGTGCCCACTACTGGTTTGATGTCTCAGCTGTTGGCTGAAATAAAATTTCTATTCACATGTAGGTAAACGAGCTGAAAGCGCAATTAAATGATGCGATGCGCTCAAAGCAAGGTCTGCCAACAAATGGAAGTCAAAATTTCAATGCTCAACGAGTGATGACGCCATCATTTCATGATGAAAAACATAAACAGATGTTGAGAAAGATAGAGAAGAATAAGAAGGAGGAATATGAGGTAGATTTTCATTAAGAATACTAACGAGCAATCTACATACTTGCAGTATTTCCTATCCGCTTTTATCCTAGTAAGTGTTTTTTCAAATGACCATACATGTTCCATGTAGTTTGGGCGCTTGAAAGTATAGAGTAAATGCATCTTATTGGTTTTATTGGTCCCTCAGTGGTAGCGGTAGTGGAAGTCAAATCTAAACTTACAACGAACCTATATATGAATACACCCTCATCCAGTTATTGCATTATCGACTTGTCGAGCTATTAAACAAGTAAACTGTCCAGATAAGTTCTTGTAAGTCGGAATTTTTTATTGCTAGAAAGTTAGCGGTGAACTTCACTTGCTGAATGAAGAACATCAAAAGCTGCAGACGAAATTCGACGCGGCAAAAACACGCAACAAAATATTGACTAGTGAACTGAAGGGATTAAAAGAACAAATTAAAATGTTGGTGGAGAAAGGTGCGCATGATGATGAATTGATTGCCGCTTTAATGGTAAGTTTATAAGAAATTTGGTACTATTAGCAGTTTAGTAACAGCATATCGGGTGTACAAATGAGAATGAATCACTGGGAATCGAAGCCAAGGTCTCATCGGTTTTCTGGTCTAACCTATACCATGCAGCACTCTCCATAACCATTGCCTATTGGGATGCCCGATCGAGACACTTAGAAATATCACATTGTATGGCTTAACGTCGTCTTTGAATGTCAATTTTCCTAGAGAGAGCAAGAAAGACTCAAGAAAACTGTAGAAAAGAAAAATTCTCAGATCGCTGAACGCAGTCAGTCTCGACAGGAGAAAGTACAACAAGATACTGAACTTGTGGCCACTTTAACTCAACTGTGTAAGGAAAGAGAAGAAAAAGTCACCCAGTTAGAACGCGAACTGAACTCCTTAGCGATCAACCTTGCAGAAACACCAGCTAGGCAACACACCAGGTCTGCAGACAAAGCTACCATAACTGATGAACTGGCCAATGATAGGATACCGAGTCCTTTACTAGATTATCAACAAAACAGCAGTGAAACAGTGGTTTCTAAAACCCACGAGGTGGAAGCACAACCACGACGAAGACGTATTGTACGGTCCTCTAGTGGTAAGAATTCTAGTGCCAGTGCCTTGCCACCCACTCCGCCAAGGTCAGGCAGTGGAAGAAGGAAAACAAGCGGCATGTCAAGGTATTGTTTGAAGGCTGTTCTATAATCACGGTTCAAGCAATATCAATAAAAATACTGTTAGAGTCAAAATCACAATGCCTACCCATAGATATCTGAAATAACAGGAAGATGTACGTACATATAAACAAACATAAGATCCTACAGATACTTCAGATCAATCAAATCAACAAAAAAAATCGATAAAAATAAACGAAACAATGGTCAAGATACAGTCAAAGAACCATTAACCAAGGCGATTGAAATTGAGCATGAAAGAGTAGTTTAAAAGAAAAAAACAAAAAGCAATCAACGCAAGACGAAAGGCGCATGTGCCAAAATCCAGATATAAGCGGATCTGCGCATGTACGTATACCTAGGGTAATAGGGTACGCTGGTTACCCTTCGAGGAAAAGGTCAGCAACTTTGTACAACTCGAGAGTGGTAAAAATTGAGCAGGCTTATAACTTGAGAAGCGACCACTGAAGGGATCTGCTGTTTTAAAATTATGTTGTCTTGCGACTTTGAAAAACTTTTGCGGCCCTCTATCTTAAAGTTTGTAGATCGAAATTTATCGTTACTAGTAATTTTGAATGATTCTGTTTCCCTTTCGTTTCAGCGATGGAAGATACATGAGCGGCAGTACACAGTTTGAGGAATATCAGACACTTTATGAAGCCACGAAGGTTGAGCGCGATAAACTAGTTGAACTTGTTGCACTTTTTCAACACAGGTAATTTTGAATTTTCATCAGGAGTTCAGCAGCAACATCTGCTGGAAAATTAATTTCTGAATCCAAGGTCTTCGGTTTAATGGTCGAACCCAAGGTCTTCGGTTTAATGTTCCAAGGTTCTGCCTGAAATATTGTACTGTAACCATGAGATGTATTTAGGTTTGTCTATACCCACCGCCGGCTATCCAGCTCGCGTACCGCAAGTATACGACGATCTTAGCACACATGATTTTCAGTAGCTAGTGATGATTGCTGGGTTCGAAGTATCGAAGACCGAAAAAGTGTTTCAAAGGTTTTTTCTGCCAATTTTCAAAGACTTTTGAGAGCAGCATCTGTTGAAACATTACGATTGTAAGCGCTACTATTCCCTTGTGAGAATCCTGTAGGCTGTTTTCGCAGCCTAAAAATCCTGCCGCAACCGATCTATTTTGGAAATAGCATATAGGAAATCGCATATATCACATACTGACTATCCAATTTAAAGACTTTTTATTAAAGACTTGTCATGCAATTCAAATATTTTTCAAAGTTAAAGACCTACTTTCAAGGGTTTCAAGACCACTACTTGTGATTGATATCTCATGAAATATTGTTACAATAATTTCTATATTCCGCGTAATAAGTATTATTTTTCTCTCTTCTCTATTGTAGGGAAAAAGAAGTACAAGAGTCAACATGTAAAATATCGAGTGAGGTGAAAACCTTGCAGAGGCAAAATGTGGAACTTGAAAAGAGACTAGCTAGAGTTCAAGAACAGCGTTCAGCACAAGATAAGAACAGTAAGAAATATCAACGTCAAAGGACTGGCACTAGTGAAGAAAGATCAACTGAACCATATTATGTTGAGGAACTTGAAACTCAGTAAGTGCATTAACATTTTACTTCGACTGCACCAAGTCTTCGGATCTTCAGTGACTATGTCGGTACATCGAGAGACCTGAGTTTCAGTACAGTGCCCTAAAACTATGCATGATTGAGCATAAAGCACGAACGTGGGGCACATGAAAACAGTGACGTCCCTGAACGAGGAACCGGAAATACTTGGAGACAAGTAAACATGATTTGGTTTTACAAATGCTGAAAAGAATAAGTGGATTGATTGGAATGCATATAGTTGTCTGATTTTAAGTAAGCCAAAGACTCATTTTATTTAGGTAAAGGGTATAGGTATTCATACCTTTAAAGTCTATAGACACATGGATGTGTCGAAAGGCAACTACAATACACCCTTTCGATAATTACGTCATTTGGCCTGGGAGCCTCGCTCTCATGAACCGTGAGCCAATCATCTTGGGTAATTTACTAATGAAGCGAGGCTCCAGGACCAAAAAGTATTGTGACGTGATTATCGAAAGGGTGCATTATGCTGGTTATTTTAGCTGCGCATTCTAACACACCCCCCGCCCCCCAAAATCAGATGCATTTCTTATCTGAAATATAGCCTGCAGACTCTCACAGTTTATTATACACTAGGGTACTTTACGATCATTTTTTATACTCATGTGCGTGTTTATAGGCTTGCGATTCAAAAGGACGACAACGACGCTTTGAAGGAAGCTTTAGAATCAACATTAGAAGGAAAGAAAGAAGACTTTCAATATTATCAAGATATTGTTGAACAAACAAAGAGAGTTTTCTTACAAGGATTACATCAATACAGACAGACCTCTTCACCAACTACAACCTCAAGTGGCAATACGCTGAGAACGTAAATAAATATGTGCATGTTAAGATACTTTAAAAGTTATAACAAGATTGTACAGTACATATTTATATTAAATCCACAATTACCAATTTGGATTTTGTGGAAAATATACCACGCTCTGCTGAGCCTTAAGCAGCTGGATTTATGAAAATAAGGAAAATTAGATAGAGTATTATTACAATGATAACAACGACACAGAAAAAATCATGATTACTAGATTACATTGATATCGAATATCACATACTCGAACCGACCTGACCGCGTAGCTCAGTTGGTAGAACATTGGGCTAGTATTCCAAAGGTCGTAGGTTCGATTCCCACCGTGGTCAGGCATATTTTTCAAGCTTGCCCGGTGTGGATACACACTCAGAGTAACATCACAAGCATCATATTCACCTGAGTACATTACACCAACACAGAAAAAAACAAAGTACATGTTAATGTCGACAGGAAAATCCCTGTTTGGCAATAATTTGTAAAAATGACTTGCCGAAAAATTGATGAAATTTTTTGAATATGAAATTCCCTTACAGTGTGCATGCAACACGATAAAGTTAACGACTTCTCAAGCAAAATTAGCGGTGTTAATCTTGCCAAAAAGTCTGCCGGACATTTTATCACATAGGGTCATGAATAACGCAAAATACTTTTAAAAAATAGTCACATAAACTCGTACAACGCCATTTTCGGTCGCCATCTTGAATTTATATTTGGGAAAGTTATACAAAGCAAAGCGGGTAACTCAAGCAACGTTTGCATTCTCTGTTTTGCTCCACTACAGTTTTCAATTTCTCCACGACCTACTGTGTTATATGACCAGTTTTCGTCCGTGTATTTTGTGATTGGTGAAAATTTGTTTAGCAAGCTACATTTATAATACATTACGGAGATAAAAATGTGATAATCATACGAAGATTGTTTCATCTTTCCTCTTTTTCATCATAACCTGTCCTGGTTTGTGTTGAGCATCCGGATGATTTTCAAGTTCTTTCGGACACGTGCTCACCTAAACAATGAATTATCATGATCGTTACATGGCGGAAAAGGCATGACCGTCTTTCAAAAAGATCTCTAGGGGTAACACAAATAATTTTTGTCTGCCAACGAAGACGTGAGTGTTGTTTCATGGGGGTGTATTAAATTTGCTAGACTTGCTGGGACTACCCCTTCGGGTGTCAATAAACTGGAATAAATCGGGGGTTAAAACAGTCAAAAAAGGATTTTTGAAAGGATTGAATTTTCCCCAATTGAAGCTCTCTTCAGTTCTTTTGAAAGTGCAATTTCCCGCGCGTTAACTTCAACCACTCCCAGGACTTGATATACAGTAGATAAAGTATTATGATCAATTTTGATATCAATGAGTGTGAGTTATTCAATACATATTGATAGGTTTCGGCAGTTCATCAAACTTGCCCTATTTTCACTTCCTAGTCAACACATAGAGCATTGGTTTTCTTTCAAATTCTGAATCGGTTTCGCATGCAGTTATTTCGGTTAGTCGGAAATCTGATTCTGATATTAAAGGTAACAGGTAGAACCGATGTAAAACACCAATGCATCTCAGCTAATTAACTGACTAACTGAGGAAAAGTCATTCGGTGGCCGACCAGTTACACAATAAACAAATTAAGTGTTAAAATTAAGTGTAAAAAACCTAAATGTATACTTCGTTCAATACTTACAGGACTATCGATAAGAAGTTGTTTTAGATCGTAGAAAACACCAGAATCCTCTTGAGTAAGGAAACTTATTGCCGTACCACTCTTTCCTGCACGACCTGTACGCCCGATACGATGGGTGTAGTCTAAAGAAATATTTCACGGGTTTTACAAAGGAAAATATTTATTTTGGCAACAATGTTTCCAACTTATCAAAAACATCAACATTTTAAAATGCTTCCGCTACAATGTTTCCCAAGGCTAGTTTGCCTACGATGAATGTGCATTAACACTGACAATGGTTTCACGTATGACCTGGCGTAATTTCATTTAACAAAAACAAAGATTTACCTTCAATAGATTTTGCCATGTCGTAATTAAGAACTAAGGAAACATCTCTGAAAAAGTAAAGCGGCGTGCAATTAGCCACACTGGGATTGCTATAACTCGGGACTTGATCAAAACTTTACGTTCAAATTTCATCAAAACAACTTGTGTACTACAGTAATAACCTAATTTTGGTTTTGCTTGTACAGACTGTTATACTTGTACAGACTGTTAGAGCTCGGGAAAATTGCCGAATCTAACACAGGGCTTAAACACGTAACATCCAAGCCTTCAGGTTGGAATGGTACGAGATCACTGCTGAGCCACCTTGCTGTGGATGCATTTCATCTGCTGAATGCAGTTTCATTTATGTTGTTTTGATTTTCATGTTGATATTTTTCCATTTTATTTGTGCTGACCACAAAACGTTCCTGTGACCCATAGTCCGCTATTTCCCCCACCCCTGCTAACACATAAAAACCTGCGTAGCTGGCAGTTTTAAGGGTTGAAGAGTTGAGGTGTATGCAGGCAAAAATTAAGGTTAAGTCCGATGTAGGACTCAGGAATTTTTGTCAAGCTTTAATAGCTACGGGCCTGTACAAGCAAAATCAACAAAGCACTTAGTATCAAGGTGAGAAGAAAAATGATAATAAGCAATTATTGGATGAGGCTGAGCATGATATCAAGGATTATTCAGACCGAGGTCAATGTTATCTGCCGAAGCGAAGCTGAGGCGGATAACATAGACCGAGGTCTGAATAATTCTTGATATCATGCGAAAGCCGAATCCAATAATTGTTTTATTATACATTTAAAGACATGAGAAACGTATAAAACGCTTCCTGTTCATGAGGTAGGAAAAGTACAATTTGAATATCAAACATTTGCACAAAGTCAAAGGTCAGCTAAATATTCTATTTCTACTTCTATTTACCCCTTTGTGGCTTTTTTCGTGCTTTCACTATCCTGATCTGCCAATAATTTGGAGAGTTCACTTTCATTCAGCAAAGCAAAACTGCTGTAGGCCATTGTTTGTTTTTTTTTTTCGCGCGCTTATAGGTTCAAGCTTTTGGCCGCACAAGGGTTTGGGCACGAGAGAGTCCAATATTTTTTTTTTTGGATGCAAGTTCGATCCAAAAAAACAATTATTGGACGCTGATGACGTCATCGGCGGAAAATACGTAATAAATGCCGAATACTGAAAATTAGCCGGTGCTTTCTGACCAATTAGAAACGAGAATACATATTAAATGTATAATAATAAGCAATTATTGGATGAGGCTGAGCATGATATCAAGAATTATTCAGACCGAGGTCAATGTTATCTGCCGAAGCGAAGCTGAGGCGGATAACATAGACCGAGGTCTGAATAATTCTTGATATCATACGAAAGCCGAATCCAATAATTGTTTTATTATACATTTAAAGACATGAGAAACGTATAAAACGATTCCTGTTCATGAGGTAGGAAAAGTACAATTTGAATATCAAACACCTTGCACAAAGTCAAAGGTCAGCTAAATATTCTATTTCTACTTCTATTTACCCCTTTGTGGCTTTTTTCGTCCTTTCACTATCCTTATCTGCCAATAATTTGGAGAGTTCACTTTCATTCAACGAAGCAAATCTGCTGTAGGCCATTGTTTGTTTTTTTTTCGCGCGCTTTAGGACCAAGCTTTTGGCCGCGCAAGGGTTTGGGCACAAGAGAGTCCAATAATTTTTTTTTTGGATGCAAGTTCGATCCAAAAAAACAATTATTGGACGCTGATGACGACATCGGCGGAAAATACGTAATAAATGCGGAATACTGAAAATTAGCCGGTGCTTTCTGACCAATTAGAAACGAGAATACATATTAAATGTATAATAACAACAATTAACTCACCTAACATCAATACCACGACCTGCAACATCTGTGGCCACTAAAATATCTTTACTGCCGTTCTTCAAACTTGCCAATGCAAACTCTCTGAAGAAATAGCGCTCGTTAAAGATTTTAAAATTGAATAAAAAGTTTAAAATAGAAGTTTCCATTTCACTGACCCTGCAATGAAATGAATCCATTGCATGACTCATTTTCTCCACTGCGTTTTATCTATACCGCGGGCTGCATTAAATTCAGTATTGTTTGTTAGACTGTTTTGACTATTTGTTTATTTTATAATTACTCGATAAATCATTCAATACTATATCATCATATGGTGTTATATAAAACAGAAAATGAATGTTTTCATTAGTGCAATGATAAGAATATTTTCATTCGGTAAAAGACTTCGCCACGTTGACTGGAATTACCATCTTTCAACTCATACGAGCTCATTAAAATATTCTTACCATTGCACTCACAAACATTCGTTATTTGTAGAATGTTTATCTGAGAAAACCTGTTTAAGTCTATTAAATCTATTCCAATCAAGCCTTGCCTGAAAAGGAACTCGATCCAGCGCGCGCGCCTATATGTGCCATGCGCCATCAGAATCAAAGAACAGTTTTATAGACATGTTAAATTATTTTATGGATTGATTGCTTTTTGGTCTGCACAATAAATGGCACTGTTATTCCCCAAAGGCATTTCTAAACCATAAATTTCAAAAACTATGCGTGAAAAAGACGTGCGTCATGTTTTAGCAAGTGTGCGGGAAAAGCCTGAAATTCTAATTGAAAAATCTTCGTCCCCTTCCTTCTGAAATTTCCAAGACTAGAAAGTAAAGGTCACTTTACCTTGATTCTTGATTTTTTCCACCATGAAGAGTAACTGCCCTGTACTATATAAAGAATAATAATACATGAATTGGATAACGTTGGCTGAGGTGCACATCAAAACTGAAAACCTACGTGGTGGTGTAAATATACCCACTATTATTAATTATATACCCATCATTTCGTATAGCTATATCCCCTTCAATTTAAGACTAGCATTTAATGAATGCGTTTATAGTATGCCTATAACCCTGCATGGAAAGACAACTCTGTGCTCAGACTTGAAATCTCAGCGACAAGCAGGCCTTATATTTTCGGATAAAAAATATAATATTTTATAGCATATCAATACAGAATTACCCCCATTTTTTCCAGTGATTTTGCAAGAACATCTGCTCCCTGTCAAACAAAATGTACATGTTGATATTTTAAGAACTGATATATATATATATAATGTTCATTATTTAATTGCGTAATTTAAATGTCTGACCTTTTTCTGGTTGACAAACACCATGATTGGGGGTTGCATATCGCCGCTGCTAAGAATTTCCAAAAGCTTTTTCCTATATGGCAGGCGAGGTAGAAATACAATTATAAATTTGAATCTTGTTATTGTTCTAAACGTAATAAGTAAATTACGATAAACAAACAATTTTGACATGGACGTGATCCACACCACTAAATTGGCAACAACAATAACACAACAACAATTGAATAACAAGACGACGACGACGACGACGACGACGACGACGACGACAACAACAACAACAACAACAACAACAACAACAACAACAACAACAACAACAACAATGCATATCTTAAAATAATGAATGGCCTAGCCTTGAATGATATATCAAATACCAGTAAAAAGGTCGACTATACAAATTGGCGGACACTGGGAGAGGGCGATTGTCCATCCCAATATTTTTGCTATGGTCTCTTGAATGCTAATAAACTGATTGTATTCTTTATCTAAAGATGGATTAATAAAACCTATTATTTTAATAGTAAGTTTTTCAACCAAGTTTTTTTCAACCATGAAAGCGTGATATTCTTATATTTGAGCATGAATTTAGCATTTTATGCAAAAGAGGGCATTCTTCTATCCTGCTTGACGCCCACTTCGACTGACTTTTGATGACATACTCGAAATGTTCACGCGTTTTATCCTATCCCTATAATACCCTATACTATCGTATATTATATATCAATGATGTAATTTAGCCTACCTCTTTTTTTGTTCTGTCATCAAGTGCACAATCTGTACAACCCGTTCTGTTGGTTTGCCTTGAAATATTTTAAACAAATAAAATGTAGCGTCGGAACAATAAATTGAATGTACAAAACAGTGTACAAATATTTTACAGTCTACTTTTCCTATCCGTGTTTACCTTAGCCAAATATAAGAGCTCTTAAAAATCACCCCTCCCAATGTGAAGAATCACATCTCAAAATGGAGGGCACTTAATTTCAAAACTTTCCTTGTGGCATAAACCAGAGTCGATGACCTTCTACCCCTAATGGTTCTCGACCTTTTGGCTAATGACGCAACGCTCAATAGCGCAACAGATCTGTGTGTCCAAAATAACTTCTGGATACGGCACTAAACTCTACACAATGCACCATAATATTTCCTGAGTGCCTGAAGTTTTCTGACTGGTGAGTATTTCGAAATACGTGTATAATACATACCAGTTGAGCCAATATATACAACCGCGGGTCGCCTGAAAACAAATACGAAAAGCAAATAAAGTGGGTCTAAACGACGACTAAACGGAGGGCCGAAAATGGTAGCAAATTCCGCATGCAATACAAAAGTATACAAAATTTGCAAACTTTGCAAGGCTATATATTTCCGCATTTTACAACATTTCACAACCAAACTTTGCAATTTTACTCATTTTAGTGTGCTCTTTCTGGCTGTGGTGTTTTATTTGCATCTCTTTACCTAGTTTTAAAATAAGTCTAATAAGTCTTGTACTACAAAATACAGAAAGTGTTGGTGAGACAATGGTCATGGTTAGTGCATGATTACCTCGCCTCAGTTGCATGTGGCGTGTGGGATGACCCAAACGCTTGAGGGAGAACAGTTCAGCACTGACTTCTGATAGAGCTGTCCATGCAGTGTGAAATGCGTCATGATCAAATATGCGCTAACTCACCTCAGATAGCTCCGTGCCAGCCGCTCAACAGATGGAGGCATCGTTGCTGTAAACATAACCGTCTACAGAAAATAAATAACCGTCTAAAAAGGTAACCTTTATTGCCTCCGTGTTCTTAGTTGCGCTCAGTTATTTTCTCCATATCGTCCGTACCAGTGAAGTTCGAAAAAGCGAGTTTGTGGGTTAATTATATTTTCGTGGTGCATGATGGGAATGATCGTCAGATCGATGTCAGTTAGCTGGTGTTGTCAGGTATTAGCCCCAAATTGTACCCACTTGAGTAAAATACAAACAAGTTATTTAAAGTCCGCAGTCCTTAGTATAAGGTGGATTTTCACGTACAGAGAAATATTTCGACGTCGAAATATTTCGCTTGATTTCTTATGAATACCATACGAATAAATCAGTTGTATTTGACCACCCACAATCCAAAATTTAATTTAAATTGAGTGAAAAACTTCGACAGCGAAATTTTTCTTGCAAGTGGAAATCCGGATCAATGTTCATTATCGACTTGCCCCGATTGATTACAGCTCCGCTAATGTCCTACAGTACCATAGATATTTTATATACACTAGATAGTGCATCTAATTATTCTGCAATTCAAAAATTGAAGCCGTGATTGCAGACTCAGGATATTCCCATGAAATGAGAAGACTCGTATGTTTTTTATTTCTTAAACAGGGAACTTAAACATTAAGTTAAACCTATTCCAAATACATTTCCAAACTATTTTAAATGATGAATGTTATTGTTGTTTTTTAATCGTTTATTAGCGAGTGGGAAACTTCAACATGGCCGCCATCTATTCAATTGGGGGGAACCGCTGGAATATTCTTGGCTTCAATTTTACTAAAAGAGATGCGCTATCTAGTGTATATAAGATATCTATGTACAGTACTGTAATAATTACATCAACTCACCTGGCGAAGGCGATCTTTTGTGGCAACTCTTTCCAGTAATTTTGCTGGGTCTTCAGCATCATCATTATCAGGTTTCAGATTAGTAATAGGAATATGTTCTAATATTGTCTGCACGTCAGGTTCAAATCCCATGTCTATCATACGATCAGCCTACAGAAACGATAAAGTTGTTAAATTGAAAGATGACTGCATACAGTTTTTGGTCAATTTTGCCCAGTATTTCACAATATCATTTCAAAAGGAGCTTTACAAAATTACAAAAATGTACCATTCAGTGGGCGAAAATTACCGAGAGCCAGTTTTCAGAAGCCTGAGAAAGCTTTTTTCTTCTGAAAACCATATCATATATTTTTTCAGGCATTCTTAGTTAACAATACATAATGGGAGAAAGCAGCTTTCAATAATTGTTATAACAATTCATGATCATTTGTTGGTCGTTCCCATAATTTGCTTTTCAAAACTTCACTTGTATTTACTAAATAATAATTTACTAAAATTCGTCCTCCATATAGCAGAAAAAAACAGAGACGGACTGCATGGGTAAGAATCAGCTATGCCTTTATAGCAGCCACATTACTGCCTAGTTCCAAGTTGTTCTAAAGCTTGCGATCACGCACAATTGTGATGTCATTGGCCGACTGGTGTCATTATTTAGCACATTACCCAAGCAACATACCTCATCCAACACAATGTATGAACAACGTGATAATACGAGATAACGATTTTCTAATCAAACAAAAAGTGAAAGAAGCAACATATTATTTATTGGGTTAGAGATGGATTATATCAGGGTATCTCACTCTATAGAAACTACAGTAATTGGTGAAGGATTTTGTAGATGGGGATTGCGAGTGTAAATTTTTTACATTTATTATACCTAACCATGCAGGAGCATGAAGTCGCGAAAAATTGCAACTGGAGTAATTCAAGCTAGAGTAATTCAATTTCGATTCCTTCCACAGGGCCTAATAAATATATAAAATTTACTGGAGGATTCATGGAGGATTTAGATTTTTCAGAAAAGACCACGAACTAATTCATTAAAAATTAATATTTCACGACTTGGGCTCTATTGAATTTGTAGGCATCGCTTACATACTACGAGTCTGAGGTTATATTTTTTATATTAAGAAGTTGTACATAGCATACCCAAAACGTCAATAAGACGACCAGGCGTTGCAATTACAATCTATTGAAAAATGAAAGAAAAATTACATTATCGCAAAACATCAAAAGAAGAAAATTGATAAAATTAATCGATTTTCAATAATCTACCCACGACTGTACAGTACGTTAATTTAACATCAAAGGAGTCAATAACCATGCAGCACGTATACCTCAACACCAAGCCTGAGTTGAAAACCTTGGTCTTCTCTTGATAACTGAAAACAAAAATTGATGCATGTATTCAATCATCTATTGATCAGAAATTCGAGACGAAAGTATACTAGTCATTTTTAACCCCCCCCCCACCCCCCTCCCCCCGTATTTTAACGTCGATCACATATACGGTAGATATTCTGAAATAAGCATTACATGAACTTTAGTTCCAGCATCATTTTGTTTAATTAAATCTCGCGAGCCTAACATTTACAAGTATATCGCACTTATACAACCAATAGAGAGGTTCGGATTTGACTAACCATTAACACACTATTAACCAATCAGATACGTTTGATATATCCGATTAACCAATCAGATGCGTACTAAGCCAGTGAGAGGTAGTGGTAGTGAAATCTGAACCTCTCATTCAGCATTATGTGAAGTACTTACACCGCCAATTACTGACACAGTCCTCACACCAAGTGGTTTAGCAAATTTTAAAGTTTCTTCCTCAATCTAGAGTTGCGACAGAAAGAACTTGGTCACCCCCTTAGTCGTATATTGTATACTTAAAATATTTCCCAGTACAACCTGTTGTGCAAGTTCTCTTGTAGGAGCCAAGATGAGTGCGTAAGGTCCTTGATCAATGTCTTGTTCTCTAGAAGTCGAATAATAGGAAATCAATTACACATTGATCTATCGTGTCAAAAATGACTGGAAATCAGCCTTTTGTCCTTGACTCTAATGTGCTGTACTATGGTAGAACGTTCTTTTTTGGAGGTGTTTTATTTGTCAAAATTTTGTAATTAACTGGTACTGTAGTTTGGTAAGTTGAAGACGTACTAAAAAGAAACAGACACAAATACTGTTCATTGGGTCTTTCGGGCCTGTTCATACGAGCTCATTCATATAATTTCTGTGTTCATACAATATGACTGCTTTTATCCCATCTAATACCCGGCCTCGCTGGGACGAAACGACGCAAGCATAGTGCTTTGGAGATACTTTCTGTTTTGATTGAACAAACTGTACATTCTGCCAGGAGGTCTATTAATATTTTTCTTATTTCATATTCCAACTATATATGCAGGTCATAATTGGCAAAAACAATTCCATCTCGGTCAAGTGGGATAAAGGAAAATTATATCTCCCTTGACTGAGATGCCACACAGCGTTCTCGGCAGGGGGGGGGGGGGACATGGGTCGGAAAATTCTCAATGTTGTCGGAATGTTCGTGGTGAAGCATCGGAAAAAGTGATACGAAAATCGGGAAAAGTGCTACGAAAGCAATTGTAATGTTATTGTCCAGAAAATTTATTACCTAAAACGTTGTCGACGGGGGGATTTAAAATGTTGTCGTCCGGAAAACTCTTTCCTCATTGAGGTTTTTCGGAAAAGTACTGCACTTGGCCCTCCCCAAAACATGAGACCCACGGCGCCCCTGGCTCTCGGTAAGATCCCAACATTGCTGGGCTGGCTCGTCTCTTGTATATTCTGGCTCGTCTTTCGAACATAAATTGAATTTTACATGCGTTAACATGGGCATGCGGCAGGTTACTGTAGCTGCTGAACTCATATGAACAGGTCCATGGAATGTTTACTGTTCAGTGAAAAATGGATTATCCAGTTTACGTTTCAGATCAGTGTGTATCGAGCAATCCATGCATGCGTTAATGTGCAGATGATACAATTTTTGCCTTGCCTGACGATTTTTGGTAATCCCATGATCCAGACAAGAAGCGGCAAAACAAACGCGGCTGTCTTTCCACTACCTATAGACACAAAAGACAACAAATAATGCTATTAATATAAATAATGCTATTAATATAAGAAATGCTTTTAACATAGAAAAAATGTTTTGATTCCCAGAGTAATCGCAATATGGAATTGAGTTTTGTCTTCCCTAAAATGTTATTTATCAAGAACTTCGGTTTACAACGTTTTTAATGATGACTATTAAAGGATGATTATAGTAAATAATTTATCACTGAATTGATGTATATTGATTTGTAACAAGAATTTCAAAAGCTTTCATTTTCTCTTGTTCCTGGGTACGAAGTTACATGCCTTACGGTGGCGCAATCGTCTGACAATCGTCACAGCAAGCGCTTTTCACCTCCGGAATCGCGAGTTCGATTCTCACAGCCTCGTACCCAGGGTTCCGCGCACTCATCAGTACTTATGTGAAAAGAATCAGGCAACGCTACCGAATGTCGTTGCTTTTCTACGGGTATTTCGGTTTCCACAGAGAATGTCATAACGTGCCAGACATAGGCGACCTATATAGAAAACCTCAACTCGATCATGTAGAACTGCATCCTTCGCAATTCAACTAAGCCCTCAGCTGCAAGCATTGAACTATAAATAAACTGGAACGATAACTCCTATGATAAAGGCCTATGTTTGGGTGAAGCCAAATTTCGGGCGCTCAAGTGCAGCCTGTTCGCAGGTATGTATACGAAAATAAATACACAAAAAGTTTCACGATGTATTTTTACTAATTTAATCCTTAATTTTAACTTATTAAAGTACGTTTCTGGATGTTTGGACTTCATTATCAACCGTATCTAAGATTTTCTACATAAATTGTATAAATTTGTCTCTGAACTCTTTCTGGAAAGTCTCAAAACTCAGAAAAACCATAGATTTCGCGCGGTTTTTTGCCGAGTTTCGTTTTGTTCGTGTCATATTTCGGCAGCTAAACAATATTTGCTTATTTTATGTGCCTTAGATAAAAGATGTGTTGTCTAAGTGTGCTCTGAGATACTATAAATGCCTTGCAAGAAGTAAAAGTAAGAAAATATTAACAATTTTTAAGCTGTATTTTTCGCATCCATTTTGTAAAAAAGACTGGGGCTACCTGCAGAAAACACTCATAACCGGCTTCAAAGATGGCGGCCAACTTATCGTTCCACTTTACTTATAGTTCAATGGCTGCAAGTAAGGATGATCAGCACATCCCCACTAACGTACCGGTTTCGGCAACACCAATGATGTCACGACATTGTAATCCAATTGGAATGGCTTGTCTTTGAATGGGTGTTGGGTCCTATAGAATTAAAAAAAAACATATACCAATTACCTGTAAATTCTTCTCACAATTTCATATTTAACATTCAAATATTTGATTAATATTATAGATAATATACAGTAGGTATAATAAAAAATAGTGGTTGGTAGAGTAAAAAAAAGACGCACTCTTCAAGAGCCTGGTTTCCATATGCTTGTAATGGTCGTAAAAATAGAGTCACGATCTTTCTCAACGATCAGTCTATAATAGTTTATACCTGTAAACCACATATAAATCATAAGTATTCTCTAGTTATAGTCACTCCGCGTATTTTCAGTTCTAAAATGTTGTATTTCGGCTGATGAGAAAGATCGTGACTCAATCTTTACGACCGTTACGACCATATGTAAACCAGGCTTAAGGCCCGTTTACACTTGCAATAGACCTTTCCCGGGGTTTCCCCTTATGAGTGAAATTTTGATCTAGATATGCCTGGACAAAAATTTCATCACAGCTTGAAAGAGCATCACAAAATTAGTAATATTCCGAAGTTTCGTTGCGAAATGTTGTAAAATGCGGATAATATAGCGTAGCTAAGTTTGCCGTTTTTCAGTCATTTTGCATTACAAACGGGAAATTGATAATCAGATGATCAAACTGATTATCAATTTCCCATTTGTAATACAAAATGACTGAAAAACGGCAAACTTCGCAAGGCTATATTATCCGCATTTTACAACATTTCGCAACGAAACTTCGGAATATTACTAATTTTGTAATGCTCTTTCAAGCTATGATGAAATTTTTGTCCAGACTTGTCTAGATCAAAATTTCACTCAAAAGGGAAAGGTCTATTGTTGCTGCGATTTGTAGTGCGATTTTCTCCTTCTGATGGATGTGAACGAGTAAATGAGTTACGAATGTTCGGAGTACATGTACCCTCATCTGAACAGTCATAACTTATCCACTCGTTCACATCCATCAAAAGAAGAAAATCGCACCTAAAGTCGCAACAAAAATTGCAAGTGTAAACAAGTCTTTAGGTGAAATTAAAATGAAGCAACTGCAGACTGCATGAATCGAACCTCTGCTCGCAGAGGTGAAAGACACACTAAGCACTGCGCCATCAACCTCCTATATTTCAAATACTACACGACTGTACTTGGGACTAAAAATTTCAAAATGTGCATCCACCACTCCACCCACCTTGTACTCGAGTTTATCGATTGTCTCTAAAAGTTCAGGTGGGAGATGAGATTCTTGCCAATTTCTGACCGGATTTGGAATTCGGCCACCTGAAAATGGATAAAAACAAAATTAACCAAAATTACACGGTTGACAGAGCGTTTGCACATGACGTCACAGCCGCTACATTGGTGTTCCAATTCAAAATAATTTTAATTAGACTCTTTTGTCTGGAACATCAACATGGCCGCCGCGACTTTTGTTGAGTTGGTCCCTGGGTAATGAGTGCAAACGCTCTATATCTGTAGTATATCAGTTACAGTATATGCCTTAAACGCCTTTCCTGTAAGTGCTTTAAACCAACAGTATGGATTATAACAGTCAACAGTCGGCTATTATTGTGACCGACCAAATTAAAATAAATCCTGCAGATTGTAATATTATATATCCCGCAGTTATACAGCAACAAGGAGACTTTACTAAAAATACCATCTTCATGTAAGCCTAGGAGGGAACTGTCACTTAATAACAACACAAATCGTGTGTTTATCTAGTACTTAAAAAACTCATTAACAATTCATGAGGAAAATACAAAAGAAATGAATGTTTAATCAATGTTTGTAAATCGGATAAGAATTTGTCCTGATTTACATAAATTTTAACTTTGATTTTCTCGGCTTGGACAATGTTTATTTTTAAAATTACTTCGCCAATGAACTCATAAGATGGGTCGCTTTTTAAGCACGATAAAACATTCGCATCCGATCTTTATCTGATATACAAACTCTCGCCTTCGGCTCGAGTTTGTATATCAGATAAAGATCGGCTGCTCATGTTTTATCTAGTACATAATTTTTGCTTACACTTGTAAGGTGGTTATAGCACATTTAGGCTAAAGGTGCAACACGCATCCGATTTCATGTCTCACAAGTATTCTAACCAGTATATATTGTTTGAAAAAAGCTGAACAAACATTCTTGACCAATGTCGAGAATGAAAATGTGTTATGCGAGAATGCAGAATACATAAAATTTAGCAGATCTAAGTGAGATAGCTACAATTTACACTGGAAACAAACGTAAATGTATCAATTAAACCCTATATAGGATAGCAATTTTACTTGCATGAGTGGCCAAACATTATCTGACATATATATCAAGATAAATTTGGAGAATTGAATGCAGATCTTAATTTTTATATGGCTTTTTTAATCTAGTTAATTTAAAATCGTGTTTTCTACCTTTACATGATATACCAAAATCTTCTTTAAATATTCTCCAGTCTCTCTCGGTCATCTCCTCAAGATCTTTGTGAGTCCAGTGACGATCATCGTACGCTTGTTTCTTTTCTTTGTCACGGACTCTATTCATACGGTGACTAACGTGGAAAACAAACATGTAACTTGATAATGATGCGATGTAACGCTTGCCCGCTTAACCTGGCCAGGGTTACGGTTACCACAGTAGAAATTGCATGTAGAAATTTCTTCTTGGTTGTCAGTTGCATGGGCAAGTATACAGTAGCCTGCATTAATCTTACAGTAGAGGGATTAGCCCCAAATTGGGTAGAATTTGAGTAGAATATAAACATATATAAACATATAATTCTTTCGTGACTCATTTTTTCCGCCATATTGTGCTAATCTGGTTTTGGAAAATGAACGTAATCACCGAACAATAAAATGAAATAGAATGGTTTTTTGGATACATGCAGAAACCATTCGTTTGCTTTGTTTATTGTATTGTGATTGATAGTCTCGCGCTATTGGTTTTCCCACTGATTTCAAATCAAACGCAGCTCATTCTCCTAGCCTACAGTATCTTGTTATTCGCTAACTTTTCAATGAAAAATATCTGTCAGGACTATAAACAACCGGAAAGGACGAGAAACTGAAATTTCTCCTTGTTAAAACTTACACTTCTTGGTCTTTTTCTGCCTGTGTTCTTCTGTCTTCCAGTAGTTCCGAATAGAAACGACTTAATTTCTTCTGACTCTGCAAACAGAGACATGACATCTTTGTTCAGAATTACATTAAATAACTTTCTTATCATGTACTGATGATTTTCGAAGTAGGTGATCACACGGTGTGATCACATGGAAGCCGGATTCCCCATTTTTATTTCCTATTAAATTTCATTTGACGTTTATTGGAACAGGGATGGATCCAGCCAGATCTGGTAGAGGCGGGTGCTCATCGACCCATGGTCAGGATTTGCAACCGTTGACCAAGTTCATAAACATTTGGAGCTACACACAGCAGTGTTTTGTGGAATGGGAAGGGTCCAGGGACATTATTAGCAAGATTCAGATTTGACTTCCACTACCTCTCACTCTCACTGGCTTAGTGCGCATCCGATTGGTTAATCGGATATATCAAGCGCATCTGATCGGTTAATGGTCCCTTAATGGTAGTGATTGAACCCCCCTTGCATCCAACCACCGCCCTAGTAAGAGAAACGACTTATTCTCTGCGTATTTCAACCAAAATACAGCACAAAATAGGGGCAAACCCAATTTTGAAGTTGGATAACTGCATTTTGAACCCACCTTTATATCAATTCCACCAATATGTCCTCGTCCAAAGAGTTGAATGGAGTGCTTCTCTTTGTAACTGTCAACAAAATGTACATACTTTTATACTCTATGTAAAAAGACACGTAACAGGAGTGAAAACATATAATCACGTTGGCAATATACAGTATAATGCAATCCCATGGTCAATGCGATATTTTATCAGTTCATTATGAGTCCGTTATCTGTGAAAGTTGATAAAATAAGTGAGGTTTTACTTTTTATTATACGAGATGTATAGATGACTACAAAGATAGCCATAATAATTGAAATGCTATCCTGAAAAACCATACGAATACATTAATCAAACAAAACGAGTTTTTGAAACTGTAAATTTTCGATCCTATTATCATGCTGTTAGATGAAAGATGCCTTTAATGATGACGGCTTTGTAAAAAAGTTCAAAATTGACAGCGTCAAAAACCTGTCTTATTGATTCATATGTTGAGCCCAAAACTGCCCGTCTTTAAACGAGAAAGAAGCTGGCCCAGAGCCCCGACACCAGCCTTAAGTAACCAGAGAGGGGGCGTCCTATATCCCTATCGAAGTCCAGTAGAACAAATGAAAGTCCATACAGTCCAAAATTAAATGGTTGCAAAAGTTATCATGTTAAAGCTACTGTAAACAATGTTGAGACAAACGTCCTTATACCATAGATACTGGTGCATAAGTAAGCCTTATTTCTGCAGATATACCAGGTTTAATTATTAAAGAATCTCAAATACATCCAGTTTCAATAACTCATCAGCTAATTGTAATTAAGGGTGAAACTGAGGTATCCTTAAAGGTTTAAACCTAGGGAGTTTAAATACCACCTGGAAAACGAAGACCAAAATACATTTCAAAAAGCCCCGTCGTTCTGCAATTACTTACATCGGGTTGTAATCTACGGACGTATCTTCATTGACATCCCAGTCAAATACAAATTTCTTATCAGTCAACCTTCGTACTTTACGTTTCTTTTTCGTTATGCCCAAGTATCTCGCCTAAAAAAATGCAATATCCAACAGCATTGATTTTTATTACAACATCAAAGATACAGGTAAACATATTTATGATGAGTTATTTAATCAAATAGACTGTAAGACAAGAGGCTCATTAATTAAAAATGTGCTCAAAAACTAAAGCGCAAGGATTAAGGGTTATACTTTCTAGTAAGAGAGGAAAACAGGAGGACATCGAGAAAAACCATGAACTCCATTTATACGAGTTTTCAAGTACATGGAGCCATTGGAGGTTACTCAGCGTAAGTACATCCTCTACCTTGGACCAATAGAAACTGAGGGATAAGTTCTATGCAACTTTTCCCAATCGACCGACATAAATTTTAAGGGCTTGTGTAATGTTAAAAAAATTGTGAAAACCCTATGTTCTATAGAACGTCGGAGAAGAAACCTTCCATTAAATACACAAATACTATTACTGTCTGACTGATCATTCGGGTCTCTGAACCAACACTATATGAGACAGTTACATAGAACCAATGTTTGGAATCGGGGTCTATCCAATTTAAGTGCGCAAAATATTTTCGTAATGACTAAATGCTTGTCTGCATGGGAGAACGTGTATATAATTAAGCAAATATTATAGTCAAGCCACCGTCAAATGAAAGTGGATCAGAGTTGAACTCTCGCTCGTGTTTCAACATCAACTCTCGTCGCCTCTCATGCACTCTCATCAAGTCTCACCAACTTGGACTGGTTCATATTTTGATGAGAATCTATTAGAGTTTTTGCTCGTTTGGCGGGTAACATCCAGTCAACTCTCATCAACTCGTGCAACTCTTGTTCCCGTCTGACCCACAATCTCAAGTGCGTTCCAAAAGAATACTGCATTCGCAGAGTTGAGTAGTCGACATCTTGAACCTACCTTGATGGCTTCTTTCTCCATCATAGTATCTGGGTTATTACCCTAAACAAAATATCAGAACAAAATTTGAAAGTTTTCAATTTAGCCTTTAGAGATGAAACAATTTGAAAGTTTTCAATTTAGCCTTTAGAGATGAAACAGGGTGATTTGAATGCATTTATATTTGGCATAAATGTGAAGGCATTAAACGGCAATTATTGTAAGAGAGTTGATATCTTGTCACCTAATTACGCAGGTAACGAATGTTTATTGCCATGTTGCCGATGTTCTTATAAAGCATAGGACGAAATAAAGGTACAGTATATAGGAAATAATAACTATAGACCTATGTGAGTAAAAACACCAATATATTTATTCAATTTCCTTCTAGTTCCAATCTTCCTTGGGAACAACCATTCCGTACTGAGACCCGTGTCAATTTATTGGGGTAAAATTCTATTTATAGAATCGATTTACCCCCAGGGAAGGACTGGTACTGAAAAAATTTGCACTTGCAAAATGGTATATTGCATGGAAGTGATGGAAGCATGAGGTATTCTAGGTGATTGTTCTGGATCTGTGGTTCTTGAGATTGCAAATAACTACTTATTAAACGTAATTTTAATCACCTTGTTATCTTCCTCGGGCTTTCGATTTCTTCGATCTCGCCTGTCTCGGTCATATCCTAAGTATTTAAAGAAAATGGTTAAGTTGCACAAAAAATTGTTCATAATGTCTGCCTGGAATTTCTCTCACTGAAAAAATCCCCTCTCAGCATGACGTATACCATATAAACACACACCTCTAGTTGCATCCGCTTCTTTTTGAAACTGCTCTCTCATTTTACGTTCTTCCTAAATTTGGAAATGAAGATCATTATATACTTACAGTAACCATATTATGATGCATTACAGTTCTAGAAGAAAATATTGCTTAACACCTCAACACCAATAAGAGATTTCAACAACTAGCTTTACTTCGCTGCTATCTAGCTTTACTAGCCAATTATTTTTATTTTCGGCACCGTTTTATACCCTTGAGTTTTAATTATTATCTGTGAAATGGTCTTTTTTGTATGTTCTCAGAATAAGTGCTAATAAATAGCTTGTAATTTCATGCAACAAAGATATCTTGGAACCTTCGGCCATCTGAAAATTCCTTTATTAAAATCTTCAGCGAATCTTCAGGAATCTTCAGCCATGCATTGGAAAAAAGGAATCTTCAACCACCTGAAAATTCCTTCATTGATGAAACAGGGAGTTGTTGCAACTTCGATGTAAGCGAAACTATAAAATTATTTGCTCTATCGTTATGATATCAAGCAATCTCTAGCGTTTCATGAACCAAAACGCGCTTATATTATACCTTTTTACATATATACGAGTCTTTATTATATGGTTATCATTGGTGCATATCATACCATGCGAAAAATAAACGTATAGTATAGTTTTAACGTGTAGCATACAAACCATTTTGAACGCAAATGAAGAGACTGAGAAAGCAATAAGAAAGCATCGGAATGATAGGGATGCAAATACCTGAAAAATACAAGCAGAACTTCGACATTTCAAGCGAAGGCCCTTCCTTGGGAAGTTAACGACGAAGAGCCTTCGCTCGAAACGTCAAGTTCTCCTTGTATTTTTCAGGTACAGTAGTTGCATCCCTGTCAATCCTAGCCTGCGAAAGAGCCTGTTCGCAGGCTATATCAATCCGAAACTTTCTTATTATTGGTACAACGGCCACAACCTACACTGGCACAGACCGTTTGAGAAAGCAATAATACATCATACACCATTTCGATAATTACGTCACAAATCTCTTCTTGGCCTGGGAGCCTCGTTCTCATGGATCGTGAGCAAATGGCCTTTCGTCTTAGTTCATGAGAGCGAGGCTCCAACGCCAAGAAAGTAGTCATGACTATCGTACATATCGTACAAGTCGCTGAGAAACTCTACAAATCAGTTAGAGAGGAAAATTAAGTCTGAATATTATTGTAAGCTAATCGAAGACAGTAAAGGTGATGGGGGAAAGATGTGGAAAGCGATAAAAGAAACCCGGCCACACTCAACAAACTCCGATATAAACGCCATATATGACGACTGCAAATTACGTACTGGAAGCATGACCATTGCCACGATTCTTAATAAATATTTCACCTCTATTGGCAAAAAGATTCAGAAAGTTTTCACTAATTTACCAACTATCTGGCCTGACAACATTAAGTACAATTATCCATCTGAATTTCAGCTTCTAAGTGTCACAAGTGACTATGTTGAATCTGAGTTGCTCAAGCTGAAATCTAACAAAAGTGCTGGATTAGACAAGATTAGTGTAAGAATGATGAAGGATGCGGCTGGTGTAATTGCTCCCGTACTTACAAGAATTATCAACAATTCTTTCCTTAATGGATGTTTTCCTAAGAGATGGAAATCCGCAAAGGTGTTTGCGTTATTTAAAGATGGAGAAAGGACATCTAAAGATAACTATCGCCCTATCTCAGTCCTCCCGGCCGTTAGTAAAGTTATCGAAAGGATTGCACATGATCAACTGGGTGGTTATCTAAAGGAAAATTCCATTCTAACCTCGACGCAATTTGGATTTCGAGCAAATCGTTCAACTGAAATGGCCCTGACTAATTTTACTGACGACATACTCAAGCATATGGATAATAAACAAGTAACTGGTGTTGTTTATCTAGACCTAAAAAAGGCTTTTGACACAGTAAACCATCAAGTTCTAATGAAAAAATTAAAGAGTGTTGGGGTTCAAGGTCAAACACTGTGCTGGTTTCAATCTTTCCTTTCAAACAGATCTCAACAAACAATCATTGCAAATTCACTATCTGAAAGCTTAAAGATCACTGTTGGAGTGCCGCAAGGCTCTATACTTGGCCCATTGTTGTTTATAATTTACATTAATGGTGTGCAATCATGCTTGGAAAACTGCCGTATGGTAATTTTTACAGATGACATAGCAATGTTTTGTCCGGCTTCAACAGCAGTAGAATTACAAGCCAAATTGGACTTCGATCTACAAGGTGTCATGAATTGGCTTCGGAAAAACAAGTTGTTGCTAAACGTTCCCAAATCAAAACTGATGATTATCGGAAATTCAAGAAAGTTGAAAGAGTTTGCAAACATTCAGCTAATCGCAAATGATGCACCATTGGAAAGAGTCCAAAATTTTAAGTACCTTGGTGTTGTTATTGACGAGAACCTCTCTTGGAAGAGTCACATCGAAAAGCTACAGATAAAAGTCTCACAACGCCTCGGCATCCTGCGCAGAATAAAGCACCTACTACCTAAGCATGCACGGATAATATTTGTCAATACAATGATCACGTCATTACTGGATTATGGTAGCCTGGTATGGGGAGATAAGAAAAACAAGATTATGATGGATAGTTTACAAGTATTGCACAACAAGGCAGCAAAGTTGGTACTGGACAGACCAATGCTTTCCTCTTCTAGTGATGCCCTAAGAATGTTACACTGGTCTACCCTGAAGCAAAGGCGAAGTATACGTAGATGCCTCTATGTATATAAATCAATAAATGGGATAAATGATATTGATAACACATTTATCCGAAATGCAGATGTTCACAGTTACAATACAAGACATAAGAACGATTTACGGCCAATGAAATCCAGTACTTGCAAAGGACTGCTTAGATCAAACTGTGATTTCATTGCGGACTGGAACCTTTTAGATGAAAATATTAGAAATTCGTCTTCTTTATCTAATTTTAAACGTGCTGTTTTTAAATTTTTTAAATCAATATAGAACGAACTTAAACTTTTAATATAGTCTACTTTTTCTATATAGAATAGAACTTTTAACTTTCTTACATAATAATATAACGGAATGTAATATACAGAGCCCTGCTGAAAAGCACTTGAGTAGTGATGTAGGCTGTCTGTTATAAATAAAGTTGTTATTATTATTATTATTAAAAGGTGTATTAAAACATTCCACTGAATTATACCTCTAGTTTCTTTCGTTTCTCTGCAACTTCTTCTTGTCTTTTCCTCAACGCCTCTGCGGCTCTTTCTTCTTTCGTTAAAAATTTCGGCTAGAGAAACCAAGACAATAAACTTTTTATATCGATTTGAAAATTGTTAACAACACTTAAGTGACGATGAAAAAATATTCACCATAATTATTCAATGGGGCTTGGAAGACTTGTAACTTCTTACATATCAGGGTTATATAATGTGGAACAAACTTGAGGAGCCGGTTGCTCGAAACCGATTAGCGCTAATCCTGGATTAAAATGTAACCCACTGTTTTGGTTTTTGCATTTCTGCTCTGCACGTCTGTCAAGAATATGATCCAGACAAGACTTCTGGATAAATATTTCCAAGTTTCTAGTACAAACAAACTGTTGGAAAGTTTGCATTGACGTTTTATATTAACCAAGGATTAAGCAAACTGGCTTTCAAACAACTGGTCCCAGATAACGAGCCCAATTCATCATTCCACCCAATCCTAAACTGAACAATCCTTCTATGCTGCAGTTATTGAATACGTTGCAATCAATAATTGTATTTATACATTATATTTTCAATATACTTTTCAATATATTTTGTATTTATATACATTATAATCTTCTCCACACAGAAAATTTATGCTTTACAAACGTTCCCAAAGAACAGTTTTAAATCTCCTGGGCATGTTTGCAATATTGCTGTACACTCAGTAACAAAATTAAAAGGCCATATGGAAAAGATCTCTTGCAAATATCCCTGTCACTATACCAATACGTAAAACTACTACTTTTATATCAACCTTTTCTTGGGCTTTTTTCTCAGCTTCACGTCTCGCAATCATTTCTTCCAACGATAAAGGTTGTTTCTTTGGTGCTTTCTCAGTTTCTTTTTCTGTCTTTTGTTTCCCCTCTTCTTCTTGTTGCTCCCTAAAAATAAGTGGTAAGTATAACTAAGTATGTTTAATCTAAAAATAAATTATTTCTGTCTTTCTTTCTTAGTACTTCAAAAAATTCTAACATTGGAATCTCTACCAACAGACACATCCATACAATGAACAGTGAGTTCATGTTGACAGGATGAGTTGGGATGGGATAAGACAACCCCAAAAATTGGACTGTAGCTGGGCTCCATGATGAGACATGAGGTGTCACCAGAAATTTTTGGACCAGGAACTGGTCCCCAATCGCTGCTAATCTTGTTGTTGTTGTTGTTGTTGTTGTTGTTGTTGTTGTTGTTGTTGTTAGGGGGCGACGCTCTTTGAAAAAACCCTAAGGCTCCGCCATTACTTGTCTGATCGGAATGAAATTTAACACAATTATTCTTAGCAATATTCCGCATCGATTGACGGTGTTCGATTTTTCACTTTTGACTTTAGAAGCAAGATACAAGCAATTTTTGACTGTATCTGTAGCAAATAATATATACATATCATTAATATTCAGCAAATATATCAGCAAACGCAAACGATAAGAAAGACATTGTCTTGTCTATTGTTGTGAACACAATCACAATAGTCTAAAGCTTCTCGAGAATGAGAATGTGAAAACGTATAAGAGACTAGTAAATTTAACACGCGCTGGCTTAGTTTCTCAAAGCGCAGGGGAGTATTATTGCTACATGTATCTGGCTATTATACAGTACAGTATAATATTCTTCATAGTCCGATAGAAAATCGTGAACCGTAAAAACAAAGACATGTAAATTTGTTTTTAGCACAAGCATGCAGTTATGAAGCCATGACTAAGCGAGATGAAATTGCATTAACCTAGCAACAATTCAGATAATTTGTTACCTTAACTTAAGCCTCGTACACGGCACGTGCACGACTGCACTGTAGCTGCAATATTTTGCAATTAATGGCACGCACGGCACGGCAAAATTTGATGCACGGCAAAAGTTAACTGACTTAGGCACGGCATGTTTTTTCTAAATATTGTGGGACATTTAACTTATCTATCGAATTCAAATGCAAGGAAATTTGCCCATTTAGTTATCAATGCTTAGTTATCAATGCCCCAGTTTGAAAACTGCCCATTTAGTTATCAATGCTTTGTCCAGATTTACACCTCATTTATACACGGCACTAGACTGACATTTTGCCCGGATCAAGTATACCTTGCATGACCAAATTAAAGCAAAACATTTAGCGAACTCAGTCGACGTTGCCAACTTCGAGAACATTAGTTTCACAAGTGACTAGTTATTTGTTTATCAAGTCAAAGTCTCGAAGGTTTTGAACATTTAACGATTTGCACAAGATCGAAACTGGGTCACGCAGTTCCTGGTCCACTATAGTATGATCGTACTTGTTTTCAAAATACTTACTAGGCTATGTAAATAGTGTGGATCTTCATTCAAAATAGTATGGAAATCCAATTTTCATACTAATTGCAATTTCCATACTATGGATAAAGTATGGAAATAATATTGATATACTGTGGATATAATAATTGCAAATTCCATTGATAGTGTTGTTTTCACCATTTTTTCCCACTGCATATTAAGCTGTCTGACAGGGCCACTTAGAAAGCCTTTGACTTATTGAGGTTGGGTTGTTCCTTTGCAATTCAACTTTAGTTAGCTCTCAGCTGCAAGTAAGGATAATTAGCACACCCACTATTATGGGTTATAAAATAACATGTATATAACGCATATTCTGATTGGTCGAAAGCCGTGTTTGGATCAGGCCATCCAAACACGGAAGACTACCGTGTTGTTGTTATTTTATAAAACAATTACTTTACGGTTTCCGTGTTTGGATGGACTGATCCAAACACTTGGGAATGTTGCTCGAGTTAAGAAAAGCGGGCAAAATCACTCGCCTTCGGCTCGTGATTTCGCTCGCTTTTCTTAACTCTCGCAACATTCCCGCGTGTTTGGATCAGGCCATCCAAACACGGAAACCATAAAGTAATTGTATAATACCATCCTGTCTTACAAACAGACTAAATGCAAGCAAAATCAACTTCTATATAAAGAGCAGCTCATGCAAATAGTTTGTGTGCAGTATACAGAACAAACTACTGTACATACAAACTATGAACATGAAAAACCTTATCCCAGGCTTCCAGCCATTCTGCAAAATTATTGTGTATGTACTGTAGACCCTATATAGAACTGTGAAAAGATATAATTGAAAAGCTAGCAAAACTTCACTATCACCATATATATTGCACGCTTGTCTTATCTTGCTACTGTCACTAAACCTCTGACGTCTAGACAGCAGACACCTCCAAACAAAGGGCAGCAAACCCAAAGCGTGTGTTATATGAAGGTTCCTGTAGTTAAGATATTAGATAAATCGATAGATTATAGATAGCCTCTCTTACTTTGATTTCTCCTCATCCTTTGTTTTATTTGGAGAACCTGACCTTTAAAACAAATAGAAATGGAAAATGAACTTTTTAAGCCCCAAAATTTTCTCTTTGGTTAATATCATTAATTGTTCTTTCTAACCTTAAACTATTCTACTGTATGTGGTTAAATATTATTGATAGCTCAATAACAGAAAGTATGCATTCAAGAAATACTCCAGCCAAAGAAATAGTAAGTAAGGCATACTTGATTCTCTTCTCATCTTTTGATTTACCAGGTGACCTTGATCTACAAAGATTAAGATATATATGATTGTACATACTATAATGACTAATTAAAACTTCATCTTAAAGTAGCTTGGAATAAGACATTCTGGCGAGTAATATCTTTAGAAAGATACAATTTGAGTTGCGCTTGCGGAATGCAGCAATAAGTCTTTGATCTGGAGATCAATTTGGTGTCTTGTTAAGCCTATTTTTCAAAAATAATGAATAATGAAAAATTTTCGTGCGGCAGATAAATCCCATGCGGGTGGGGACGAGAAACATGATATCAATTTTCATTGGCCTAATATTCTTCTGTCATCTGGGCGTGAATTCATGCTGTTATTCTTGGTATATATGACATATGCCTTATTTAAAGTCCTGGAATATTAACATGTCAACAACCGAAGCGTTGAAGAACTAAACTTGCACAGCAGAACTAGATTTGTAAGCTATAATTATATAAAGGTATATATAAACTATGAATTAAATTGCACTGTTGTAATAAATATTTCAAACTTTACGGTTGTGAACTTTTATTTACTTGGGCTTTTGTTTACAGTATACATTTTAATAATAGATTAGAATAGAAAATTAGAAATTGACATTGTGATCGAGCCTTCAGCTAAAGAAGTCATTAATACAAAAGCAATTATATGACTTTCCAATCATTTCTCTGTTACTATTTTATACTAAGCAATTGATAGCATAAATTCTATTATTCTCCATATAATACCGAATGACATTATATATTCGAAATATTCGCATGGTTAACTTGCCATATGTAATTTACTCATAATTTTTCGCGCATTTTGTATGTCATCAAACATCAACAAATTTATTATTATTTGTCAATGGCGTTCAATTACACTCTTCATCGAAAAGTAAGGTTTTACACACAGAGTATATGACGATATGGTAACTTTTTGTATTAAATTCCATGTTTTCCCGCCATGACAGTATACAAAAACTGCCAGGCGCTCCCCAGCACGCATCCTTCCCAACAGCCCCTTCGCGCTTCGCCTGCCTACCTGAATACTTCATGTATTATAATTATTTAAAGCGCCTTGGTACGAGGCAGGTCTGGGGGCACAGTTGCTAGTGGGGACAGGCTTTGGTTAAGGTTTGCCCACAGGAAATTTTGAGATTTGTGGTCTTAGTTAAGTTCAAAATCCTTTAAGTCTTACTTAGTTCAAAATCTTTGTTTCAATCATGCAGTACTATAAAATAATCATTTAATCAAACAAGCATTATTTTAAACTTCTGGGTATGTGCAGATTTCTCTAGGTGGGGTGGAAAAACTTTCAGTGGGGGTGCAAAATATTTCTGGCGTATGATCCCCTGCACCCACCAGAAAAATTGTCTATGCCAGGATGCATACATTGATATACACCAGAAGCAAATCTTATATAGTTCCTATTAACTTCCTTTATATATTGTTACACACGAGTGTATTTGAGTTTCCAGTGAGTCATTTACTACATTAAACCACCCATTTAGAACTAGGTCAAATTGTGAGATGCATAAGAACACAAGAATAAGCTTCCAATGATTGCATAAAAATATAAACATCTAACTTTAATTTGTATAACATTTAGTTTTTTTCAAAACTGGCTTGACAGACATATAACCACTTAAGGCCCTGCCACATTGATTTTTTTTATGTTTTATATTTGAGCCTTTCAATGAATTTCCACTTAGGGCCTGTTCATATGATCCCGCTTACCGGGACGTTTTGCTTACCGATGATCTCGCCGCCTATCTATTTTCCTATAAAATTTTGCATTGTGTTCATATGAGAAAGCAAGCTGGCCCGCTTGCCGAGATCTCGCTTGAATTTGCCGAGATCATAGGTAGGCGGGATGAAAATTTTTCCATATGAACACGCCAGCCCACTTACCGGGATGAAGTGAAACAAGTCTTGCCGGTTTAATTTAACACTTTTTACTTGGTTTTATGTTTGTTTTGTAAACAAGTATCAAATAACCACCTGAAGCAATACTTTTTCTTGTAAATAAACGAAGAAAAACACTAAAATCGCCAAGTATTTGTGTTACTTGACTGAAATGTAGAAGTTTTGCATACGCTAATTATAGAACTACAATGTAATTTCATCTCGGCAAGCGGGACGAAATATTCCATATGAACGCACGGAAATATTCGTCTCGGTAAGCGAGACGTCCCGGTAAGCGGGATGATATGAACAGGCCCTTAGTAGTATATTTCGGCCATTTTGCTCCTTTCAGCATAGTTCAGTTGCCGTTTGGAACTTTTTGTCAACTCTCGCTTGCTGTTCTAATATTTTAATATATTTACATTTTATGAGTAAACTTCAATATTTGCTGTGTGTTTATAGGTTATTTGGTAAACTTTAAAACAGCAATATTTGAAGGTTTAAAAAAAAAGCGCCTAAACTTTAATTAAAAGAGCAATATTTGAAGATCTTAAAATTTTTCTCTTACTTAGCCTAATTGCCAAGCACTGCAGCAAGCTCTATATTTAAGGAATGTAAGCACAGTGCGCTGGAAATGTCCAGTGTACAACCTACATATGGGCAATTTCACGTTGCGGACATTACATTCACAGGAAAACAATTAATACAAAACATGCTCTGTTTCCTGTTTGCAACAGTTTCAGATCTGGGAACTTTGTCATAGAAAACCTTAAGGGGACCTCTTAGGATTTCATAAAATAAAACAAAATTCCCTCGTAATCAATTCTTGTAATAAAAAGTCAAAGTACTGTTGCGGACATTACAGCAAAATCAACCACACATTGAAGTGATGTTTTTAAAATGTAATTTCCTGTGAACTTTGAAAGGTATCAAAGGAACTAAAACACTTCCTGCTCTCAGTGATAATTGGGGTTAAAAAATATGAAAGCGAGATGTTCTACAATGTCCTTGCGCAGCTTTTATAGTACAAAGTTTGTGTTGCGGACATTACACTGAAACTGTTGCGGACATTACATTTTTGGGATTGTATAGGAATCTGTATTAAAAATGATAGGAAATCAAAACTGGGTGACTGATTATGCACTTCAATGTTTCTAGTCCACATAACAGGCATTCTAGCTTAATTCTACTTACATTTGTATACCCATGGGCGTACCGGGCGGGGGGCGGAGGGGGCGGCAGTCCAGTTTGTTAGGCAAACAAAGCCAGTCGGGCAATATTCGCTTCACACTTGGGCAATATTGGCTTATTATAAAAATAAATGGGACAAATTCTGTCAATTTTGTGGGGAATTCTGTCAATTTTGTGGGAAATATGCTATCTATCCAATAGGAATTCTTCGTAATCACTAGTCCCCCCCTCCCCCCCCGTCGACAACAATTTTGGAAAGTTTCTCCGGAAATTTTTTTAACAACGCGGGCACAATCCGAAAAAGTCAGGCAAATTTCTTTCCTCCCCCCTAATTTTTTCCTTCCTGTATGCCCATGTGTATACCACCATAAATCCTGGGATGAAATCATGGTCACATATATTACAGTATATAATCTTCTGTTGACAATAATATCTTTCAAAAGTGCAATATTTGTTGCGCATAGACTCAGGCAATGACTTGGGTTGTGCAGCAAATAAAGTGTCATGTTTGTAGACCATTCTATTTGACAGTTTTGCATTTACTACATTTGGTGGGGATAATTAACACCCCTGGGTTTAGTGGAAGATGATCAAAACAAACATGAATTAAAACATGATTTTGCTCTTAACAACATATGCCTTACAAAACTGATGGTACAATGGCAGTATAATTAATACGGTAGTGGCATTATATGTAACTTGGAAACTTTCCATGATGAATTGTGTCACTGTGATTGTGTATACAGCACGGAGTGATTATAGTTAAAAGTAAGGGTCCCATAGTCCTTTTAATGTTCTATTTTTAAGTCATCAAGCTTAAAATAACTATAGAATTCAAGCAAGACAATTATATAAGCATCTAATTCTCCAATTTCAAAAATGATAATGTCTGCAACGTAATGTCCGCAACACATTATTCAAGACATGTTAATACTTTTTATTGTCTTTTTCCAGTCTAAAATAATGTTAATACCATTTTAAAAAAGCAGCACAAATATAATGTCAAAAGAGCTAGACGTTTGGCTGAAAAATAAATTGAATTGTTTTTTTGTTGCGGACATTACATTTCTCTTACCCGAACTTCAATGTACCATAAATCACAGCAACACTGGATATTGTCTGATCTAACATTGTCATCATGATATGTGAACTATAGACTGTGTTTGTTAAGAAATATAACTTATTTCAAAGTTAAAGTGACTGAGTTATAATTATTTTAAATAAACACACTTTATCCACAGAACAATAGCAACAAACAAGTGCAGATTTGACGGTTTGCCGCAGAGTGGGCATGGGCCAAAATTCAAAAATCGTTTTGATTTATGATAATCCAATGTGTTAACTATGGAAACATGTGGTTAGCACCACATAATGTTGCATTTTGCAATTTTGCCATTTTCAATGTCTCATGTGAAATTGACCATATGTCTGGTAAACAAAAAAGTCTCATTCCATACAGGAGCAAGCTCACATACTTGTTACATACCTTGAACGTTTCCTTGAGGATTTATCATGATCTCTTCTCCTTTCCCTATCTTTGTCCCTCTCCCTATCTTTATCCCTATCTCTGTCTTTATGTCTGTCTTTACGTCGACTCTTGTGTTCTCTATCTCGTCTCTTATCCTTGTGACTACTCTTTTCACGACTTCTCTTGCTTTTACTGAGTTCACTGTCACGATCTCTATGTTTGTCTGCCTCTTTGTCTCGACCGTCCCTGTGTCTATCATCTCGCTTGGTCTCATCTCGTCTAGTATCATCTCGTTTAATTATGGTATCACCTTGTCTGTCTTTATTCACGCTGATCACAGACACAACAGAGCTTGGGATTGTTTTTACTTCATCCATTTTGAGAATGTTCAATTTTTATTACGAGTGAACTACTTTCGTAAAATAGGAATATATACTTCGTTTACATGAAGTTTTTTTTCGACAGAAACTTGCTGGAAATCAAACATTTTCGGCGGCCATGTTCTTTAGAAGTGAGCCAGCAAGTATTACCCTGCGGTTAATTACTTGCAAACGTCATGTAATTATTCTTGTTTCTGGTCAGTTTCTGGTACGTGGTTGTTTCTGGTGCGTTGTAACGTAACTTTTTTACTTGCGTTGTGACTTTTTTCCTTGCGTTGTACTTTTTATACTTGTGATGTTATTATGTTGACTGGCGTTGTGAGTTCTTTTACCAGTAAGTTCGTAGAAACTATTTAGATAGCGTTACCAATTTACCATGAAAATGAAAATATAATATTTTCACTCACCAAGTGTCCCAATTTCTTACCCACGAGATTGACATCGTTCGACAATGTTGAATGATAGTGAAATGCATTGCAGTGGGGGAGGGGGGAGGGGTGGTAGGGTGTTAGGAGTTGCAAACTCCCACTTTCTGATAAAATTTATTGCTGACTTTCAAGCAATCGGCCCACGACTCTACGAGATACTAACACAAAAAAGGCAGATGGAGGCCACATATAATGACATTCGGATGAGATGACGTGTGCAAACTGAAAAATTTGCTTGACCGCGATGGGAATTGAACACGCGACCTTTGCTTTGCCAGTCCAACATATTGATATCGAAGGAACTAACTGAGTTCCGGAATATGACGCACTCCGAATGTCAACCGACTTGACCAAACGAAAGGTCGCGGGTGCCTCGCTCGCCCGCGCACAGGCATTGCTCTGGGTACGAGATTGGGACACAAAGTCACAACACAAATAAAAAATGTCACAACGCAAGTAAAAAATTGTCACAACCGAAATAAAAAAGGTCACATATACAATTGTAACTCTACTTCTCAGATCTATACATACTCAAGTGATGATGTTGATCTGCGAGGTAGAGTGCTCGGCACGTTATACGTGGACGGCTGACTTCAGTCAAATACGTAGCCGTAGGCGGATTTTGAAGGCATCCTTGGGCATCAGTAGGGAGTTTATTATTATATTTATATTTATCCAGGATACCCACGTCACCGAAGTGTTTTTCAGTGGGGTCCTGCATTATAAATTTCAACTTCAATATACATATACATTACAAAATAACATGCAAATCTACAATAACATGCGTTAACATACTTATACTATATATACATATATACAGAACGTAATGGAACTAAGACTATGTTTACTATGTAATTCTCCCCTACACAGCGTTTTTTAATAGAGTTTTAAACTTGTATAACGAGTTAGCGTTTCTAATGTCTGGTTCTAGGTTGTTAAAGTCTTTTGATGCTTGGTAGCTTGGTCTTTGTTTTTCCTTGTTTGTGTTCGTCTTTGGGAGGTGGAGGTCGTTTTTTCTTCTCTTGTAATAGCTGTGAATGTCTTCGTTCTTTGTTAATTCAAATTTAAAGTCAATTAAATCATTTAAACATTTATAAATAACTCATATGCGAACCTAATCAAAAGCGTAGGAGACGGGGAAGAGGGGCAGGGGGCAGCGAGTATAAGGGGGCATAGGGGGGGGGGCAGATGCCATTCAGAAAAATTGAAATGTCGATGAATTTGGCAAATTTTGAACGTAAGTCGAGCAAATGTTGAACGTGAGTTGGGGAAATCTGTGGAAAATAAACTGAAAAGGAAGACATATATAATATAATAGTAACAATTGCAAAAATGCAAGAAAACGGGACAATGTGGCAGAACATTTCTAGCGTTTCAAACGCTTCCGAAATATAGCAGGGAATTAACCGGTTGGGCAAAATGGAAAAATCGGGCAAATTTCGTTCTGCCCCCCTAATTTTTCCGCTCCCGTACACCGATAAACCTAAGTTTATACCTTGATTATCATGCAGTTCTTGAGCCCTAGCATATCAGTCATATACCAATACGGTCTCCGTAATAAGCTATCAACAGATCCAAATAGTAACAAGATTTCTGTCACCTTATGACGTGTATGCTTACTAACTTCTGCTAAAAATCGCGATTCGCCAGCACTAAATTACTATCACTGTTCAACATAACAGCGCACATGAATCCAGCGTATACGCCATCAAATCAAGAGGACCGAAGGAATGCACTTACTAAAGTCACGATTTAGCAGTCATTACTGCACACTAGGGCAAAACAAAACTGTGAACAAAACAAAACCGTGAATAAAACAAAACTGTGAACTGACCAGAACCATAATCCCCCGTAACAATATACTATGATCACCAAACCGTTATAACTGAAACCCATAAAAAACACGTCACGATTAGAAACACCGATGCCGACCACACGGTTCGCCGTATACAAGCATGGTATACGAGTCCAAACAGCACAATCTTCATACTCAGATTTATGCACAATGGTTCGGATTGTGTAAAATTTCGGTTGTACACTTCATGCATTGTCATCCAAAATTCTGCCAATCACTGCTTGTATACCAAGGCTAAATCCTACTTATGCCATCCGCTATTCTGCAAACCACCATTTTATACCTATAGACTAATGAAATCCGTGGCTCTGAAAACCTCAATTTTTACACCTAGTTAACTAATTCCCTTGTTAATTAACAAATCCTATTCTGCACAGTTAAAACTTAAGACCCTGTTACACGGTGCAATTTTTCATGCAACTTGTCTCGCAAACCTTTTGACCATTGCAAGGAATTTTAAACGGTGAAATGACTCGTGCAACTCATCTCGTAACGCCATTGCGAGACAAGTTGCATGAAAATTTGCACCTTGTAACAGGGCCTTTAGCTAACGCCCTACGCAGTATAGTTTGGACGAAATTAAGCCGGTTTTCCACTTCAACGTATCGTATCGTAACGTAACGTACCGTAGCATTTTCTTTTGTGTCGAAGTAATTAGTTCTACTCTAGTGGTCAGGAAACAAAGAAATACGCTACGATACGATTGAAGTGGGAAACTGGCTTTAGACGGCACAGACCACAACATATGTTCGTACCTGATGGGGGACGTCCAATTGTCGCAAAATCAAAGTATAGGACAATGTGAATCACGCTCTGTCGCACTATAATCATGCATCTTTGTCCTCTGTACATGTGTCTGCTCTTGAGATATTAACATGATCCTCGGAAAATATACAAAATGCCTGATATTAACGTAGGCCGTTTGCATGTCCGGAGAAAATGTCGATATTAAACTCTCTTGAAAACGTTTAGATCTTTATAAGTGGAATCGGATCTGTTCAATAAACTTTCAGCTAGCACATACCTTCCGCTCCTCGAAATGTGTCTATGAATGACAGTAAATACTGCCCATTCGTGATATCTTGAACAAGTTCAGCGACGGGTCTTGCATTTATTTTGGCTTTGTGGAAAATGTAAGTCTTCGTCTGGACAAAATTCACGTAACTGTACCACTAATCGTCTCTCTCACGCATCAATTAGCCAATGACAAACCATAGTTTCTTCATGCACGGTTAATAGAAGGAGACCTCTATTAACCGTGTTCATGTCAATCATATTACATGGAACAAAATGGAGGAAAATGCCAATAATTTTGTTAATTATGTTGTTATTGAGTAGTTTTCCCAATGTGTGCAGTGAAAATACATAGCTGAGCTAGCTGCCACGCGAGGCGATTAGCTCAACAAATTGCTCTCGTGTGCGACGGGCTTATATAAGAAACTTTGTTTTCGGTAATTAACTCTTACCAAATAAGAATAGGTTACATTGGTAAAATTGCACCTATTGTTTCTCTCGAAAATAGAAGTTAGAGTTATAAACCGAGAAGGAGGTTTATTAAGGCCGGCGCACACTAGAGCTATGTGCTTAGCAAAATGTCATTCGTGACTGTTGGCATAAGGAGATAGCTCTCGTGTGCGGGCGATTTACGAACGACTTTTGTCATTCGTGCCACTTACGCTAAATATCTAACATGTTTGATAATTTCTGCCTCGCGTGCCAAAATCTTTCCGTGTGCGGCGAACGAAAGCTATCTGCTTACGGATTGTCGTAACAGCGCATGCGTAGTATACGAAAGTAAACGTCCAAGATGGCGGCGCAAAATGAATTGCTGGCCGAGGCAATTTTAGAGGACAAACTTACTGGCTATTTCTTTCACCGCACATTCCCTTTTGTCCCTATTTCTAAAATCTGCAGAACTCACATCGTATAACCATTTGTATTCAGGCCAAAGTTCGACAAGTTTGTCCTCTAAAATTGCCTCGGCCAGCAATTCATTTTGCGCCGCCATCTTGGATGTTTACTTTCGTATACTACGCATGCGCTGTTACGACAATCCGTAAGCAGATAGCTTTCGTTCGCCGCACACGGAAAGATTTTGGCACGCGGGGCAGAAATTATCAAACATGTTAGATATTTGGCGTAAGTGGCACGAATGACAAAAGTCGTTCGTAAATCGCCCGCACACGAAAGCTATCTCCTTACGCCAACAGTCACGAATGACATTTTGCTAAGCACATAGCTCTAGTGTGCGCCGGCCTTTATTTAGTTATTGTCTCACTAAGACGAAGATCGAGGAGCTGAGCTCATTTTAGAGAATTTAACATTCAATCATTCCATGTTAATTCCCTCTTGGGAGCCGGAATTGTCTATGGTTCGTTTTCCATTCAATTCCCAACGGTGGAAGAATGTGATTTCGACCGGCAATTTTTATTTGACGAGTTTGTGGCCATTTCTCATCGTTATGATTTAAAAAAGTATCATTGAAAGCTAAATAACTGTTCATTTGTCATATTATGTAAGAATTTAATTGTTTAGCCACGTTTATGATGCACGACAGTCTGTTGAATTTCTATAGCGTTTTTTTAGAAACCCTGTA